TCCCCCCCCCCCCCAACCCCCTGTCGCCACCACCGCCTCTCAATTTTCCTCATTATAATCTCCCTGATCCTCGCACCCGTCAGCCGCTGTTTGCTAATAAAACTTTACAATCCCGGCGTGATTTTGCAGATGTCCTCCACAAAATTTTCGAACATGCACTCCTACCGCCCCGCGAAACTTGCGCACGAGCAATCGCAATAGCTCGATTTCTGTTAAAACAGCGATGGGGGGGGATCCGCGATATATCACGCAGCACGATTCAATGGGTTCAGTCTGCGGAGGTGTATCTCACGCACTGTGTCGCCCATTCCCGCGCCCCAGGCGCACTCTTCCCATCCAAATGACTCCATCAGAAACTCATTAAAATCAAATTACCCATCAGACGATATTCCACAATCACATGTTCACAGTCAAATAAAATTTTCACGTCTCCAATGAGTGATTCTAATTGAATAAATGAGTGAAGCGCCGACGAGATAAGATTCCGTTGAATAAGTGGATATCCCCCGGAGGTAGACAGACCCGCAACACACGAACTCAACGTATGTATAAATAAAAATGCCTCTGTAAGTCTGAATCCTTTTTCCGCTCAAACTCGTGACGCGAAACGCGTGGCCTTGAACCAGCCACTGTTATCCAACCGCTGTCAGATGTTTAACGAGCAATTAATCGTTGTTGATTAACGCAACACATGTAAGATCGGGGCGCCTGGATTGCAAACATTTTGGGGCTTTTCATAATTGAGTTGAGGGCAATATTGCGGAATCGGTGGCGAGCGTGACTTCCAGCCTGCATTCGTCATCTTCTCGCTTGATTCATTATCATTAGCCGGGAAATATTGCAAGTCACTACAGTTGTGAAATTCAAAACAGGGTGGCATCTGGTTTTGGTGAAGAATTAGGTAAACATTGGGTAAAGCCAGAGGTAAATACCAGAGGTAAACCCAATGCTTGAAATTTTGAGATTGTTTATATTCTCTAATTCTTCCTTTTTTGAAATTGAATTACTGTTGGAACTTATATTTTAAAACATTACACTGTTGTCAATGAAAAAATAAAAAATGTCAATTTAATAATAATAATAATAATAATAATAATTTCGAGTTTCTTTATTCATTAAAAAAATGAGATTAAAGAAAAGATTGAACGAAAAAAATTCTAAAATTTATGCTAAGGAATTTCTTTACAGAAAACTAGATTTTTCTATCAATTTCGTCGTGCGTGTTCAATGTAATGAATAGTTTTTTGAATATAGGAATAGTATTTTTCCGGGCTGCTGTGATCGGGTTTTTTACTTGTGTGGCGTTGGCGTCCGAGCCATAGGCGAGGACTGGCCAACCGCACGGGTAAAAACCCCATCGCAGCAGCTTGGGACAAGATTTTTTTGTAGTGATTTTCAAGTTTTCGAGTTTGGGAAGTATGTAATACCAATTCCCAGACTGTAGACTGAAGACTTCATTAGTTGAAAGCGACGAAATTATTTAAATAGCGACGAAAACAAATCCATCAACAAGTAATGATTCTTTATTTGATAAAATGAATGGTTGATTTGATTCTACTAAGGTCGGTTGCCCCAAGCCCTGTTAGCCCATTAAATGTTCCGAATAAGTTTGTGTCAGAATTTATTTTGTTCGATTGAAGGATCTTTGAAATTCGCTGGGAAGTGCTTTTATTCCGTTATTCGGTCGTAAATGTCGAGAAAACACCTGATAATTAGTGGTATTGCTGGCAAATATTTTTATTTGCTCCGATAGTTAAGGATATCTGAGGATCTTTGACAGTTTGGTACAGACGATACTATAAATTCAATCGTCTTCAGTCAGCGATTTTGTCAATTGAATTGCAGGCGAAAAATTTGAAAAAAAATCAATAATATTCAGCGTCATTCAAATAACATTTTGCACGGAATTATTATTTCTTTAAACATTCGTTGTTTATAAATAAATAATTGAAATTGTTTAAACTTTCGGAAATCTCTTTTTTAGGCATGAAATCGATTTCTGGTTTAAATTATGAATATGAATAAATTTATTACAATTCTGAACAAATGATTTTTATGGTGGAAAATCAAGTGTTTATAAATTATTCATAGAAAATGCTCGTAATTTCAAAAAATTGCAATTTTTAAATTATTTTATCAATCGTTTTCCAAAAGTAAAGATTCTAATTTTATTTCAAGATTTTCAAAATGTTTTTTAGCGGTTCAATATAGAAATTTAAATTCAGACTTGTTAAGTTTAAATAATAAAATCATTGTAAAATGTCCGGAAATTTAGGGTCAAATGGGGCTCAAATACAAGTTCGGATGTTCGATTGCAAAAGTAGAAAACAATTTCACTGGAAAAAAAAATAGCCAAACTATCTTTTACAGTGAGAACAGGCCACACTATAGATTTCACCATTTTCAATCATTAAAAAAAAATCATGAATAATCCTGCGTCATTCACATAACATTTTGCACGGAATTATTATTTTTTAAAACATTCTTTGTTTATAAATAAGCAACTGAAATTGTTTAAACTTTTGGAAACCTAATTTTTTATAAATCTCTATCTATTTGTTACACATTTTTTATAAATATTTATAAATTTGTTATGATTTCGACCAACTGATTTTTATGGTGGAAAATTAATTGTTTAATCCACAGAAAGTTTAAATAACAAAATCAATAAAAAAATAGCCAAAGTACTTGAATATGCTTAAATTGAAGATTTGTTTCAAATTATTCAAATTAATGAGCTATTCACTTCATACGATTGAACCACTTCTGACAGAATTCTTATAAAAAACCGATTGAATTTTCGAGCATATGCGCTTGATTTTAGATATAATTCTTTCAAGCGTGATGGGTACGAGTGGAGGAGCGTAATGAAAAAGATATGGTAACCCTCACTTGACTCTGTACTTGCGCTGTAGTTTATCTGCAATTGACCCGTGTGAACTCTTTTATGAGACGGCGCTGTTGTAGAGACAGCAATAAAAAATAGACAAGTCATAGTTTCTGAAATAAAATCAGTCACGCGCAATAATTTTTATAACAAAAATCAGCAACTCTACTGCGCGTTTTTTTTTTAATAAAAAAATACCCATTAGAAATTTTTTTTCAACAAAATCAGGAAAATTTAATTTTTCTATACAACTTTTTCTAAAGGGTCATTTTCTACAGGAATTCCTCGACATGAATTTTCCGAGTGCTTTCCACTCTACATTTCTCATCTTTTTATTTACAAAATTGAACAAAAAAATTTAAGGAAAATAAATTGTCGAAATTGTTGAATAGTCTTGCCCAAAAGTCTACACTGAGAGAAAAACGAAAAAGCTCTCAAACAAGTCTTACTTGTGCCAAGAAAATAGTTTTTTGAAAATTATCAAAAAATGATTTTTTTGTGCCAAACATGCAGAGAGTGCGCCGGAATGAAAAATTTTTGTCGCAAAAATAGATTTAGTAGTTCAAAAAAAATTGCATTCTCTGTATACGCAAGAAATGTCATTTCTAGCACTACTCCTTCGTTATTCGATACTCCCATACGTATTTTGCTCCCGAAAAATCTTTGTTTTATGCGAAACAAGGGATAGTAGTTTTTCTTTTCGGCTGTCTAATAATCACAGACAATAAATGAACCCTTAAATGAAACAATAATAATGATATGATAGCAATCTTGTAACTTAGGGATAAAATATTTGTTGATAAATTTTCCTCTATATAAGATATTTTCATCCTGAAAAGGCACCATCTGGTGTGAATTATCCGCCTCTTGAGCCAAATATTTCGTTGCTGTCGAAAGCAGAACAATTATTCATGTTTGAGACTTTCAAATTCGAACCAAACAAATTCCTTTTTAGCAATTTTCAACTAGCGATTTTATTGGCCCAAACAAGACTTGTTTGACAACATGTTTGTTTTTCTCTCAGTGTAAAAATGCAGTTTTTCGAAAGCTCATTCTATCGCAGAAACTGATATGCCCCACTTGAATATCTTCAATCGTTCACCTTCGTAATGGTGTGACACACGTCGACAGCTTATTGTCAACCGTCGCCATAGTTTGTTTCACGTTGAAATTCGAGAGTGTTTATCGAGGTATATAGAACTCGCGACGGATATTACAGTGGAAGAATGTTTGTTATTCATTACGTCATTGTGCTTCCTGATTTTTTTGTTATTCAGACGCAATGAAAAAAAAATTTATTTTCATCACGCTATGACGAAAAGTGAACTTTTCGGCACGCTCCGCGTGCCTAAAAGTCCTATTTCCGCCACATTGTGATGAAAAATATTGTTCGTAACTCGTGAAAAAATGTTTCTTGCACTCGTTACGAAATATACTATTTCCGGAACATGTCGCTGATTTCCAGGGCATCGTACTGATTTTTACGACTGTATCGCCAATAGTTATATCGTTAAAAAAAATAGTATATTTCGTTACGAGTGCGGAAGAGAGTTTTTTGGCTCGCGGGATTATATCCCTCGCCTTCGGCTCGTGCTATAAACCTCCCACGAGCCAAAAAACACTTTTCTCACGAGTATCGAACGATATTTTTCATCACAATGTGTGGAAAAGGGACGTTTTAGGCATACGAAGCGTGCCTAAAAAGTTACTTTTTCGCACAGCGTGATGAAAATGAAATTTCATGGACAATTGACTACCAATTTTCAGGACAGTGACACTGAATGCGATTTAGGAGGAAAAATTGTGAGATTTCAGGTTTCAGTGAAAATTCAGTAAAATTCCAGAATTTTAAGAGGCATACACGTATGAAAGAATTCAATATAAAATTTAGTAAATTCGGTAGAAAATTCTATTGGAATTCTATAGGAATTCCATGGGGTTCTTATAGGGTTTCTATTGGAATTCTATTGAAAAATTCTATTTGTTTTTTGCGCTGATTCTATTGCATGTTGGATAAGAAAAAGTCAATAGATTTCGAATTTCTGTTTACATTTTTATCTTGATATTTTTTCTACAAGAATGCTTGGGCGTCAATTTTCTAAGTTTTTACACTCGGGTTTTACAATGGAAAACAAAACAAAATCCAGCGGAAAAAACTTGGAAAATTTTGTGTCCAATAATTCTAATAGAAAAAATTTAAGAGAAAAATTCAAACAGAAATTCGAAATCTATTAACTTTTTATTATTGAATATCCAATAGAATCAGCGCAAAAAACAAACAGAATTTTTTGACAGAATTCCAATAGAAATACTATAGAAACCCCATAGAATTTCTATAGTATTCCAATAGAATTTTCTAGTGAATTCACTAGGTTTTCTATTGAATTTTTTCATGTGTGTAAAGACGAGAATTCCTTAATTTATTTGGATTCCCAATCTAATATGAATATTCAGTGTCAAATTTTTCCACAGAATTTTTCCACTCGTATTCACGAAATTCTCCCGATTCACATGGCAATAGAAGTATTCTTTACCTTTACCTTGACTCAAAGTGGCGTGTGTCATCATTATCGGCACTGGAACACTTCCTTAGAATTATTGTACCATCTCTCCCAGTCTGTTTTCCTACAAATGTGCGTGTCATTCTCCTTAAGAACAACTTGTGCATTAAAGTCGTTTGCATAGACGCCAGTTGAACTGTTGAGTGTAACGGAAAAGGAAAAAATTATAAATGCCCTAAATATAATTATTCATAATTGATCATTTTTACATGAATTCTAACATTGATGAATGTACGAAATCCGTAGCGAAGCGGTAAATCGATTTAAGTCGACTCAGCTCTTAGCTGAGTTTTCGAAGAATATCTCTGAATCTAGAAGAGATGGCGAAATTTTTATAATAACCTTTTTTGTAGAGCGAATTGAGAGCTACAAAAAATATTATGACAAAAATTTTGCTATCTGCCTTGGATTCCGAGATATTCATTGACAACTGACCGGTAATAAAAATCGTGAAATGAATACATCAAATTCTTTCGTCAATTGGTTTTTAAAATAATAGCCTCTCATTTGACTAATAAATTTCTGGAAAATTCTCAAACCTTCTGGAGAACTCTAGAAATTTTTTTAGTGGAAAATAAATTTCAGATTTGATTTCGATATGAGTTGTGCTAAAATACTCGAAAGAATGAAGACTTAATTAACGTCACTATCAGACGAAATTACATTTATATCAGCGATAACATCCCAACCTGATATGATCTGTCATAAACATGAACTCACCATCCAAACATCGTGTTCTTGCTAACCCTGGAAATTTTTTTTTCTCTCGGCAAAAACGGAGACTTGAATTTTTTCTTCGAGAAACGGCGAGTCATGATCGTTTGTAACAGAATGGGTCACGATCATGGCGCGATGTACTTTTTCCGGTTCAAAGTACCTCTCCTCTTGGGAAATTATTTTTCTATTTAAAGATTTTTAAATATTACAAATAATTATCCGAAAATTCGGCGAGATGCGGAATCTTAATTTTTTTTTGACATTCAATTGCCGAATTCGTTTTTATAAATAAATTAGGGGGCTATGCCCCCTGCTCTCTTAGCTCGCCAACCCCCATATGTCCCCCATATGATCCTCACATGACCCTCATGATCTCCATTCTGACCTTTCTGACCCTTATTTTGACCCCTCACTTCTGACCCTTAATTTTGGAGTCTTAACTTCCAGTACCCAATTTTGATCACCAAAAATTGATTTGAATTTTTATAATACAGAGAGATAGACCCATATTTTTACCCTTGTGACCCTATGATCCTTTTGTGGACCATTAATCTGACCTTTATAACCCTTAATCTGACCCATATGACTCTTGTGACCCTTATTCTGACCTTCATTACCCTTATTCCGACCTTCATAACCCTTAGTCTGACCCTCGTGACCTTTATTCTGACCCTCATGACCCTTTATCTGATCCTCACAACCCCTATTCTGACCCTTGTGACCCTTATTCTCCCCAATATGACTCTTGTGACCCTTATTCTGATCTTCACCACCCTTACTCCGACCTTTATGACCCTTATTATGATCCTCATGACCGTTATTTGATCCTAATAATCCCTATTCTGACCCTCATGACCCTTAATCTGCCCCATATGTCCCTTGTGACCCTTATCCTGACCTTCACGACCCTTACTCCGACCTTTATGACCCTTATTCCGACCTTTATGACCCTTATTGATCCTCATGACCCTTATTCACCCTCATAACCCCTATTTCATAACCCTTATTTCACCCTCATAACCCCTATTCTGACCCTTATGACCCTCATTCTGCCCCTCATGACCATTATTTTGACCCCCGTGACCCTTGCGACCCTTAATTTTGAAGTCTTAATTTCTAGTACCAAATTTTCATCACCAGAAGTCAATTTGGATTTTTATAAAATAGAGAGAAATATTTAAAAACCGTTATTCAACCCAGGGTCTTTCTAAAAAAAAGCAGAGGCAATATCTTGAATCGAAAATGAGAACTCGTCCAGGAAGCAAACGAGGGATAAAAATCTTTCGTAGTACCCTCCCCATAAAATCGTTTCTTAAAATAATGTTCAAAATCAATCAAAAATATGAAAATATCGACTTTTCATTTAAAAAAATAATACTCAAGAAAATCGTTGCATAGAACATTCTAAAACTCGATATATTCGTGTAAAAATGTCAATTTAATCAGATTCTTCGTTTCTTTGTGATAACTTCAATGTCCAATCAAACTCAGTGTCTCAAAATTAAGGGGGAAATCCCCCCAGGAAATACCTCGAGCAGGTAGCCCATGCCATTCGACCAACGCTTGGGTAGAGTCGTCTCCTAGCCGGCATACAGAGTGGACGGGTCAGCTAGATTAGTACAATTCTCATGTATTTTGTCCGGAATTTTGACAAATAATCATCATTCTGACTGGAATTCATCCTGAGAGAAGGTTTCTCGATTGACAGGTGGGCAAAGCCAGAAAAACTCATTATAATTGAAGAAAAATAGAGAATTTGTTTTGGCCTTTCTTTGCGTCTCGATTTTGGCTTCCAACAGGGCCAAAGGGCTTGTTCCAGCCTTTGTTTAGCGTCATTTTGAGTCCCGGGAGTTGTAATTAACTCCCACAATTAATTTTCAATTTATTACGGTTAATTTTCAAAGATTTGAGTAGAGCCATTGAAGTTTGCCAAATTTTGTCCAATTTTGAGGGAAATTATTATCGGACATCGTGGAATTCTTGTTAATCCAAACGGAACTTCTAGTTATAATTGTAAATCAATCCTACCTTGAGGAAAACCCAGTCATATCTACGCTTGTAAATATTCTACATTTTTCTTCATGTAAAACTATACATATTTATTTGAAATACTAGAGTGAGGGTATCGTCCTCCTTCCCTCTTGAATTGAGAAGAGTTGTTCAACTACTGAGTTTCCAAAAATGACGAAACGTATTGGAATATAAGCGAACTTAACTAGAGAGGAGTCGATGCCCTTTCATTATTTAATTAAAAGTTCATCGACTGGCGCCTATTTCACTAAAATTTAGTTGAAAAATATTCTTTTCAAACTTCTCGTCAACCGTTTCATTTTTTACTGATTGATTATTCAGTCGTAATACGGTCATACATATAAATATTTTTTCATTTCAGTCGTGAAGTGGTCAATCGGTTTCAGTCGACTTAGCTCCAGTTGAGTTTTTGTTGAATAACTCGGAATTTAAGAAAGCGAAATTTTTGTAAAATCTGTTTCGATAGTCTGCACTTTTCGTTAAAGAAAAATCGAGATATTCATCGAGAACTGGCGCTAGAATGGAATTGACTTGAACCGTTTGACCACTTCACTACTGATTTTTTAGTTGAAAATCCTTAAAACTTCAAAATTCAAAAGAATTAAAGAATCAGATGAAGAATTCTTATCATTTCAATATTTTAGACATGAAAACAACAATAGTTGGAATTTCTTTTTTGTGAAAGCACTCAATGACTCGAGCCGTAAGGGCAGCGCTTCTTTAAATAAAAAACATACGTCATTGTTGATGAGGCTTCGCGCCATTTGTGGCAATATTTTCATTCTACCGTTTTTCGCACTGTAATACTGTTCTTCATCAATGAAAGGATATATTCGAGCCCACGTGATTTCTGACAATCAAGATATTGCCCGTCATCCTTTATGATTAGCTTAATCAAGTGATTTCGAGTCTCACTTAGCATAGATCAGGGTAGGATTTAATGAAGAAGACGTGGAATTGTGTATTTGATTGAGTTTAAATATTGAATATTTGACGATGTGGATTGTCTATTTCAAGTTTAATATTTTGGAGAACTGCAGTTATAAAAAATCCATTCATACACCGAGACAAAAAATTCCCTCTGCCGAACAATTCAGTAGCGAAGTGGTAAAGCGGTTTAAGTCGACTCGTCTCCCCGTTGAGTTTTTGAGGAATATTTCCGAATCTAAGGGAGATAGCGAAATTTTCGTAATTACATTTGTTGTAGCACACAATCGGCTCTACAAAAAAGGTTATAACAACAATTTTGCCATCTCCCTTGGATTCCGAGATATTCATTGAAAACTGGTCAATAGCCAAAATTGACTTATACCGTTTTACCACTTCGCTACTGAATTATATCGGCACCTTAATCGTAAGGTCTATGTACTCTGTGTAGATACGCTTGTCTGTTATTAAGGTATTGGTATTTTGCCCTGAAGAGATTTTTTGTCGTGTTAAATCAAAACATGATAATTTTCGTAGTAGTAATTGTTCTCGTGACATATTTATGTCTTTCGGGTAAACACGTTAGTTCTACAGAGAATTATATGAGGCTCCGGTTTTATCAAGTGAATGTTATTGAGTAGTGTGTAAGAAAATCAAATGAAATAATTTCGAAAATTTGAATCGAGGAATTTCTACGGTAAATATCTCAATAGAATGAGTTGTATAGGAAAACCGAATTCTATTAATTTATTCTCTAGAATATTTTCTGAAAGTCTAGCGCATTCGCCAAAAACTTCTATAGAATTTGACTTTTCTATTCAAATCATTCTATTGAGATATTTTCTATAGAAATTCCACGGCTCAAATTTTCCAACTATTTTATTTGATTTTTTGGAAAATTTATTCAAAATTGAAAATATTGCATAAAAAGATGAAATTCTACTGATTTTTGCATAAAATAGTTTCTATAGAACATTGTCCATAAGAAAACGCACAATTAATGTGAAATTCTCCCATAGAGTGGCCCAAAAACTAACAGAATCCGCAAGATTTTTCAACGAATTTTTTTCGTGTGTGAATTGCCGCCTCATCTGGACCATTCTGCAGAAATTCTGAGCTGAAAAACCGCATACGAAATGAAACAAGAAATGTGTCTTCCCGAGCAGATAACGACCGCGAGATTTTCATCACCTCCCCCAAAAATAAATATTCCACCGATAAATATTAACACGAATCGCGAGTGGAATTGTCGAATCAAAAAGAGTGACACAGCAAGACCCTTATCAGATTCCTGATAAGCGCCAGCTGTTAGGCAATGAATTTCTATATTCAAATCAGCAGAATGGGGAAACGGAACTGACTCGATCATTAATTCAAACAACTCATCAGATTTTTCTATTTCAGGGACACTCGGAGTGACGATCACCCAGCGGCGTGATGTGAATTGAGTCCCTGCATCGTATTAATAAGTCATGGCTGCAACCATAATAATCGGATGAATCCAATGGAAGTGTTTGCATTTTCTTGTGCCTCATGCGTGATAAGATACATACATTGGACGAGAATATTATTGATGAGTTATCGGGTGTTAATGCCCCTAATAATTTAGAGTCGGATTGTGTTGAGTGGAGTGATTGAAATTATCGTTCTGCCTGAGTCTGTTAATTCAATCTGCTTGGTTTAATGAAGGAAGTATTGAGATGGATGCTAGCAAACAATTTGTCCATGAAAATCCGAGAAACAAGGCGAATATATTCGCAATTCTGCTCTGGACGTGAGTTGATGGCAAATAACATCGTAAAATCATTACGTCATTATCATTATAGAAAATTCTATTGCATTTCTATTGAAGTTGTATTGACAATTCCATTCATTTTTGGCTGATTCTATTCAAGAATTTCGCAGGAATTTTTTAACAGAAAATGTTCAATAGAAAACTATGTTATGGAAAATATGAGTGGAATCTCATGTTTCTATTGAAATATTTTCTATAGGAACTCCTCGACATGAATTTTCGTACTTTTCCATTCACCTCGGCTCTATATTTCTGACTTTTTCACTAAAAAAAAAATGAAATTAAAAAACGCAGAAAATTTGAAACGAGGTATTTCTATAGAAAATATTTTAATAGAATAAGTTGCGCAGAAAAATTGAATTCTTTTGAATTTTTCACTATAATCTGCCAAAAACTAATAGAAAATTCAATAGAAATCCGATAGAATTTTTTAGTAAATTCTTTAATATTTTGATTTGAAAAAGGCAATAAGTCTAGTACGAAATTTTATTGAAAATTTTTCATTCATTCCAAAAATAGTGCATTTTCCATTGGAAGCCTAGTAAAAATTCCTGAAAAATCATGCATGAATATTTCGTCATAACACGCCACGTTATGATTGACGGGATATCTTTTTCCAGATGGACCTTGAAATTCTTCAAAACTGGTTATAGAAAAGCATTGGAGCCCTCGGATCTCTTTGATCCCCTACAATCGGATAAATCTGGTATACTTGGGGATAGATTAGAGAGGTATGCGATGTTCTTTATGTTTTAATGAGCCTGATGACCCATAATTAATCACTATCATTGCTACAGGGAATGGATCAAAGAGCTAGAGAGATGCAAGAGAAACAAGAAAAGCCCGAGCTTTCTCAGGACGATACTTCGGTGCTTTCTGTGGGAGTATTCTCTCCTCGGGCTTCTCCAAATTTTCAATGAATTTTTTTTACGGTGAGTTGTGATCTGTTATCTCTTTATGTAAAAAATGGGGGCGTTCACGTAAGATTTTCTGGCGGACAAAGGTCGGTCCAAGGTCGGCCTGAGGTTGGGGCAAGGTTGACCCAAGGTCGGCATAGGGTTGGTGCAAGGTTGGCCGGTGGCTGGCGTAAAATCGGCCCAAGGTCGACACAAGGTTAGCCTGGGGTTGGCCGAAGGTCGGCCTGGTGTTGGCGCATTTTTCTCTCTAAATTCTAATTCTCTTAGAATTTTTTTGTTTTGTGAATTAAATAAACTTTATTTGAATCGAATAAATCCTCTATTAGAATCAAATAAACAATTTATTTGAGTCAAATAAAGTTTATTCAATTCAAATAAACCATTTTTCTGCGTGTACATGGTGTGTCATAGTTAAAAAGCCGCATACAGAGAAATGATTAGGGTCATAGGACCGGGGAAACTCATAAATCACAGAAACCATCATCATAAAAGTCGATAAGGCTCTCATGAACTACCAAATAATAACTGATGGCACCCAAATGGTCGCGTGAGGGAAGGGGGGAGCGAGCGAAGCGAACGGGAGGGCGAAGCCCCTCCAAGATTGGCGAGCGAAGCGAGCAGGTCGCGCCGCCCTTTGTAACAACAACGTTATTTCCAGATGTAAAACCATCTTTAAAAAATGGATCACCCTAAAAAATCTTAATCAAACCTGCTCTGCTTTCAGACTGGGCACCCCGATGCTCCTGGGAGGACTTCTCCGCTACTTTCGAGCCGACGAGTCGACCCGCGTCTTCGACACAGCCCTGATATTCGCCGCCGGAATATGCGCGGCCACCGCCCTGAACGCAATAACGATAAACCAGTCGGTCTTCGGTGCTTTCCACATCGGCGGAAGGATCCGCATAGCTGTGTGTTCAGTCGTCTACAGAAAATCCCTCCGCCTGAGCATAACAGCCCTAGGGGAAACAGCCCCAGGAAAGGTGGTCAACCTTGTAGCCAACGACGTAAATCGCTTCGACGTAGTCTCAGTCTTCATCCACTACATGTGGTCAGCGCCCCTGTCCGCCATCATCATCGGGTACTTCCTCTACGTCGAGGCCGGGTACGCGGGAGTCTTCGGAATTGCCGTAGTGTTCATAGTCGTTCCGATTCAATCCTACACCGGCAAGCTTTCTTCAATCTTCCGCCTCCAGACAGCCATAAAGACAGATGAGCGAGTTCGCTTGATGGACGAGATTATCTCCGGCGTTCAAGTGATAAAGATGTACGCCTGGGAGAAGCCATTCTGCGCGATGATCGAGTTGGCGAGACGTCTCGAGCTCCGAGTTGTCCGCAAAAGCTCATGGATCCGGGGCGTCTTTATGACATTCAACCTCTTCACAACCCGAATGGCTGTCTACTGTACGCTCATCGGAATGCTGTTCTTCGGCCAGCCCTTGACAGCGGAAAAAGTCTTCGTCTTCTCCTCGTACTTTGCCACTCTCTCCCAAACCATGTCTGCCATGTTCGTTCGAGGTGTCGCTGAGATCGCCGAGTGCATGGTTGCCGTCCGCCGTCTCCAGCACTTCCTCATGTACGACGAATTCCAAATGCTGGAGAACCGAACAGTTTCGCCGGAGTCAGGTGCTCCTTCCAAATCGTCCAAGCCAGACGTTCCTTTTATCGACGACGATATCATCCACGAATCCCCGGTCAGGCAGAACGGTCTGGCGTTGGTGGCTAGCGATCTGGTGAAGAACACCGCGAACTACGCAGCTAGCCAGAATCAAGGGTCAAAGCCGAGTCACATCGCTGTCTCCCTGAAGAATCTGACCGCCAAGTGGGAGCCGCAAGAGCCTGAGAACATCCTTCAAGATGTGAACGCAGATATTGAAAAGGGGAAGTTGTACATTGTGATCGGTGCCGTGGGATCTGGCAAGTCCTCCCTCATATCGGCCATCTTGGGCGAGATGTTCATAGCTGAAGGTCGCGTTGACATCAAAGGTGGGATCAGCTACGCGAGTCAAGAGGCCTGGGTCTTCGGTTCTACGGTCCGCCAGAACATAATCTTCGGACAGCCTTACGATCGCCAGAGGTACCAGAGGGTCGTCAAGGCCTGCGCCCTCCTGAGTGATTTCAAGCAGTTCCCCCAGGGGGACCAGACAATCGTCGGGGAGCGAGGAAGCTCGCTGTCAGGAGGCCAGAAAGCCAGGATAAACCTTGCCAGATCCGTCTACCGTCAGGCGGACGTTTACATATTCGACGATCCTCTGAGTGCTGTTGACACTCACGTCGGAAAGCACCTCTTCGAGGAGTGCCTCCAGAGGTATCTAGTTGGAAAGACGAGAATCCTAGCGACTCACCAGCTACAGTTCATCAAAGGGGCAGACGCGATTCTCCTGTTGGAGCACGGAAAGCTAATCAGATTCAACAATTACGTGGATCTCTTAGCTGAGAGGCCGGTGTACGCTGGCCTCCTGGCGTCAGACTCGGCATCAGAAACTGGGGACGACTCTTCAATGGAGAGATCAGGAATGCGACGACAGGTGTCCACGGGCTCCACCAGAAGTCGAACCCCAGACATGTCCGGAGGGGACACCGACGCCGAGGATGAGGACGACGATCCAGAGGCCGAGAATGTTCTCGAGGGGACGTCCAAGGGGATCATCAAGGGGTCGATCTACGGAAAGTACTTCAGAGCTGGGGGCAACTGGTGCTTCATCCTCACGGTGGGATTGTTCTTCCTCCTAGCTCAGTGCGTAGTCACCGTCAATGATATCTTCTTCCCGAAAATGGTGGACTTCGAAGAAAATCGTCATCATGAATTCGAGATGGCCCGGTGGAATGTGACAGGCAATTCCACTGACTCCGAATACCCGATATCGCCGGCTTACCCGTACGTCTACATCTACACAGCGATCGTCCTCTCGATCTTCGTAATCGGCATCACGAGATCGTTCTTGTTCTATGGACTTGCGATCGGTGCGTCGCAAAAGTTGCATGACAGAGCGTTTGGCGCCCTCATCAGAACCGGAATGCGGTTCTTCGATACGAACCCCAGCGGACGAATCCTGAACAGATTCTCCAAGGACATGGGGGCCATCGATGAACTTCTACCGAAAGCTCAACTGGACGCCGGCCAGATCATCATGATGATGTTCGGAGCGCTGGCTGTGGTGTGCTATGTCAACCCCATGTTCATAGCTCCCCTGGTGGTCATGTCGCTGATATTCTACTGGATCCGCAAGATCTACCTCAAGACCAGCAAGAATATAAAGCGCTTGGAAGGCATGCTGCGGTCTCCGGTCTTCACGCACCTAAACGCAACTCTTCATGGCTTGTCGACGATCCGTGCGTACAATGCGCAGGAGATACTGAAGGTGGAGTTCGACAGATTTCAGGACAGCCACAGTTCGGCCTGGTACATGTTCATAGTCACCAGCACAGCATTTGGCTTCTCCCTCGACGTCTTCTGCTTCATCTTCACGGCGATTGTGACGTTTACGCTGCTGTTCCTCGATGGATACTCAGGATCCCAGGTGGGTCTTGCTATAACAACCGTCATGTCGATGACGGGGATGATCCAGTGGGGGATGCGCCAGTCTGCTGAGGTCGCCAACCAGATGATGTCGGTGGAGCGAGTTCTTGAGTACACGCTATTGCCACCTGAGGACAACCTCTGTGACAGGGGTCCCATGGACCGGAAGAAGAGGACGAAGCGTGCTGACGCGGAGATGGAGAAGTTGCCGGTTCCGGCGCCGAAGAATTGGCCAAGTGAGGGGACTATCAGGTTCAGATACGTGTACATGAGGTACGCTGACGAGGATCCACCGGTATTGAAGGGTCTGGATCTGGTGATCAAGTCGAAGGAGAAGGTGGGGATTGTGGGGAGGACTGGGGCGGGGAAATCCTCCCTGATATCCGCGCTGTTCAGGCTGGCCAGGGTTGAGGGGGTCATTGAGATCGATGGGGTGGACACTGGGAGCATATGCTTGGAGGATCTCAGGAAGAGAATATCGATCATTCCGCAGGATCCCGTGCTCTTCTCTGGAACTTTGAGGAAGAATCTGGATCCTTTTAATGAGTTCAGTGATGAGGCACTTTGGGCTGTTCTCGAGGAAGTGGAGTTGAAGGATGTGGCTGCCAGTGGGGTTCATGGGTTGGAGAGCAGGGTCTTTGATAGGGGGACTAATTACAGCGCTGGGCAGAGGCAACTGGTTTGCCTCGCCAGGGCCATTCTGAGGAACAATAAAGTACTTATGTTGGATGAGGCGACGGCTAATGTCGATCCGCATACTGACGCGCTTATTCAGAGGACTATTAGGACTAAGTTTGCGGAATGTACGGTGTTGACGGTGGCCCATCGGTTGAACACAATCATGGATAGTGATAAGGTTCTTGTCATGAATCATGGGCGCTTGGCGGAGTATGATCATCCGTATATTTTACTGCAGAATGAACGGGGACAGTTTACGTCTCTCGTCAGGGAGACTGGTCGGGCTATGCACGATCAGTTGTTCAGGGTTGCTAAGAAGGCGTATGAAGAGCGCTATGGGGAGAGATTGTGAGAGCACTAGGCACTGTCTCTAGGTAATTGAAATAATCATTCAGTGATGAGGTGATAAAACGTGATAATTTTGCGGAAACGTGGAAGAAACTCAATTGTTTAGTTGTTTTGTCACGCCGTATCAGAATTATCTCAGGTGTACTTACATGCCCAAGGCCTTACACTTGTTAATCAAGTATTACTTCAATAGTGCTTGAGATTAAATTTTTATAATCAATGTACAAATAACTGAAGTGGTATAATTCAACTGCATTATTCCAATGCGCTTAAGTGATTCATCAGTTTCAAATTTTTGATATTAATTTTTTGAGCTTGACGTCTATCTTCACCAAAGTCTTCACATAATCTGATAGAGAAATATACTTTGTGGATATTTTTGTATTATACGACGGATGGAGAGTAAGATAACTGACCTGATAGATCGCATGGGGAAAAGGAAAGAATTTTCAATTCAGTGACGAGACAATTTTCTGGAGTTGAGATTCCGCTGAATATCTGTTTTCTTTTCGCAACTGAATTGTTCAAATTCATTCTCTACCGCATGAATATATTTTATATAATTTTCGAGTGCATTCGTGCGATTCTGGAGAGGAATACTTAAAGAATAGACTTTATAGTCATGATTCGTCAATTATTGTAAATAAATAGATTGAGGGAATAATGTATTTAGTGTTTGATCCTTTCTTCAATTCCTTATGATCCCTTTCGCGTGTCATGCCAGTGACATTAAAACATTCTTCTGCTTTCCACGGGGATGTGTCAACAGATACCGTTGTGTTATCAGCTGCTTTTCATTCGTCATTCCTACTGAATACAATAAAAGTTGGCGACGACTGCGGCCAAGTCTCATATAGATATTTTCCCTTCTGGGAAAATGTCCGGTAGAAGGTGAAATGTTTACCAGAAAAAAAGAAATTCTAAAAATTATTTATTTTACGTGTTTTTATAATAAAATTTTTTCCTCTCGTATACCCTTTCGGGTCTTTCTCTCCGCATTCGCCGAATGACAAGGGAAAACCTCTTTTGAGCTAAAAACCTGCCCAGATACAGTCGTCTCTTGCGAGACTCCCGCTCGACAATGAAACCGTGAGATTTAGAGTGTCAATTTTTTAGAGTGTCACAGCCACCACCGTCGGTTGTTTTTATAATATTATTATAATCTATCACACAGAGAAAAAATTAGCTCTGCCGAAAAGATAAATGTTCACCTGTACAAAATTTTCTTGTCTCAAAATTATTATTCCCCACGAGAAAATATTCTGCAGCGAAATAGTATTTTTCCGGCCTGTTGCGATGGGGTTTTTTACTTGTGTGGCGTTGGCCTCCGAGCCGTAGGCGAGGACTGGCCAACCACACGAGTAAAAAAACCCCATCACAACAGCCCAGGAACAATATTTTTCTGTAGTGATTTTCAAGTTTTCGAGTTTGGGAAGTATGTAATACCAATTCCCAGACGAGAAATCGTGAGAAGCAGTAGAGAAAAATTTCTTCTTTCCACTTGAAAATTTGACAGTGGCATATGAATACATATTCTTTCGAGTAGAATGCCAGGATTCAAATATCATGATAAATAATAATATGTTTGACTGCAAACCAAAAAATTTTCTTTCAGCAAAAATACGACTGTATAATCTCTACTGCGACTTTCTCTGTTATTTCCAATATTACTCATTTGGTTCCCCGCTATTGATAGTTATTGAGTGAGAAATCAAAGTCCAGTTCTGAGGTCACAAACGGATAAGTTTGAGAAGATCAAACCTCTGATCCACAGAAAATTTCAAAACCTTTTACGAAGCTTTTTTGTAATCAGCGGAATAGTCTACTTCTTTTCCGCTTGACTTGTGCACGTGAAAAAAAAACAGATTTTGAGGCGACAAATTATTTATCTATTTACATCAAACTATGCGTTGACTCCAAGTATCTTATATTATTAGACGAAGTTATCCCGATATTTTTGAGCGGAATAAATATATTTTCGGCAGAGGTAATTTTTTCTCTCAGTGCAGGATATGTAAGATTCAATTGCTCTGTTTTGTTGTTTTTCCCAACTATTCCACAATCATTGTGCAAATTCATGACTGTAGTAAAATAACTGAGAAAAATTTTATGATTGTCTCCTTGAATACGGCTAACATTGATAATTCTCAAATGTCAGATAATTTCGTCGTTAAAGGTATTGATTTGCATAATGATAATCAATGAATTTTCATTTAATGCCACGTGGTGCGCTCTCGTCCTATCGTAGACGTTGATTTTATCATTTTGCGAGTAGCTCGTGAGCATGCAGAATTTCTCGGGGAGATACTCGTCACCATTTGCGGAGGAATTGTCTCGGAGTTGTGAGTTTCATAACATGTTCAGTTGTCGAGATCAATTTGTGTGATTTTTGACGTGGACACGTCTCGGGCCTCGGGTAAGGGGGCATTAGACATGGACCACGCGACATGTGATACGGTAATTTCTCCGATTAGAGAGGTCATTGGGAGAAATCGAGAAGATTCCCGGGAATTTCTAAAAAATCAGTGTTTTTGTTTTAAAAAATTGAACATATTCTCGATTTTTCACACGGAGAGAAATGTTCAGTGAAATTACGGAACTCGTAATTCGCTCACCGATTACGGAATCGACTCAGAAAATTTAAGTGACGGTATCTTAATTTTCCACAGGAATATTTCTCTCCGTGCAGACAAAAAAAAAATCGGGGATATTCTTTGAAATAATCGAGAATGTCTTCCCTCTTTTTCGAAGATATCTGAGAGAACTGAGTTTTCTAAAAAATTACCCGATTTTTCGAGTCGGAAATTCCGAACTTCGTAATGACAAAAATTGATTGGTTGATTGGATGAGCAATCAGATTCGCGCTCTGCGCGCAACTAACACGTACAGAAATACTCACCTATTGTGGCGCATCTGCAATTACCTCCAATTATTCGCGCGCATGTGTGAAACGGGCTAGCGGTGGGGGATGCGATATTACTTACGAGCGGTGATTTTGTATAACTTATCGCCGGTTATAACTTATTCGGCAGCAAGACATTTTGTCAGTGCCATAATAATCGAAGAAGTTATAACTGATCACAGTATAATTTATGACAGATGGGACTAGTGATTTTTTTCCTGCAGGAGACTTCACGAGACATCACCAGGCAATACTTTCGAGAGTGAACACGGAAATTTTTGGTCCTAGCCAATTTATCTCATCTCGGTTTCAGTTTTTATTTTTTTTTTAATCTGGAAGACCGAGACGAGTCAAACCGAGACAAGGACCGAGATTTTATGTAAAAAAAACATGAAAAACTTGAGGCCGAGATCAGATGAATTGTCTTTGAGCCATAATGAGAGAAAACGATATACTGTTGAAATTTTTTTGAAAATTAAGCAATAGTTGCACTTCAATTTTTAATATTGTAAATTTGAATTCATTTCAAGATCAAATCGTTCATTGAATCTTCCATTCAGGTTGGAAATTCAGATTAATTGGGTTTTTTATCTAGAATTTTTCAATTCATTTCAAATTGGACATCACATCCAACTGAATTTTCAGTAGATTGAAAATTCAGGGAAATTGTTGCTTGAATTTTCAAATTATTCAATAATTTTCGTTATCATGAGGACCTGAAAATTGCAATTCCATTGAATACTCCAGAATTCAACTGATTTTTCAATAATAAAATACATGAAAATTTCGTGTGAATAAGTGATTGTTAAAAATTTCAAGATTTTTTATTAGAAATTTCAGGAGTAATCTTCTAACACGAAACCCAAGATTTCCATGTTCATTGAGACCGAGTCCATTTCTCCAAAGTGCAGTCTCATGCTGTCTCTCGGGCATCACTAAGCAGAGCGATTATTCATATTCAAGACTTTCAAATAAAAAAAATTTCTTTTTCGTAATTTTAGCTTCCGTTTTTTTCGGTCCAAACAAGAATTGTTTGAGAGCTTGTTCTTTTTTTCTCAGTGTTGGGACCACCCAGTTTCTCACAAATTTATCAACGTTCACTATCATAGGACAGATTACCGAAAAAAGTAAACACTCATTGAGAGGTGGGAGACGTGGATATGAGTGCTAATTAGATAAAGTGGGGGCATGTGATAAAGTAAACCCTTCTATCATGAGGGAATAATGCAAACAGACGTGTCCGCGGCAGAAATTCTACCTAATTGTTTGCTCGTTCCGTTTCTGTGAAGATTTGTTCTGTTACAAGAGCGGATTAACATGGCAATATCACCGAAGAGAAATCCCGTGGAGAAGGCTAACTGCATCAGCAAACTCTTCTTTTGGTTCGTAATGATTCTCCATTAATTTCAATAATCTACGAGGAAAAAAGTAGCGAATATTTATTCTAGACGCAAATGTCAAGAGATTTGTTTTATTTGAGAAACGTCATCAGCTGCAAAAGATGTATTTAGCTGATGAGTATTTTTTAACGGAATGAATGCAGTATTAATTGATGAGAATTTCACTCAATACGCTTCACCCGAGCTGGGGAAATACTATTTGAATTACTGATTTAAGGATTAACTACTGATTGTTATTCCGACTTTTAAAACTCTCTCCTTAAACTGTGATCAGTGTAAGTTGGAAATTCTTTTAAGGGTGCTAAGTGAATTTGAAAAAAGATTCCAAAAAAATTTTTTTCTTTCCCCCCATCATTGGAGAAATATGTATTCATCCATGTATTCATCCATCCGACGAAATTTCAAACCCGCAACCGGACCTAGACATCGAGAAAATAAATGCGGAAAATCCTCTGTTTCGCGTGACGAACCTCGAGAAAGCATGGGATCAAATGGGTACGGCGGGTTGAAATATCTCTCTTATTCACCCCGGTACCCCATTGTTTTTTGTCGCCATCACATTGAACACATCATTCCCCATATCTTCGAATTTTTTCAATTTTTTCTTGAGTTCCTAGGAGGTTGAAACGTTCAATTTAATCAAAACTCCATAAGAGGCCGTGTATAAGACTGATTTTGTTTATTTAATTTCTCGATATCCATAAGTTCTAAAATTTTAAAATTCTCACCGATGTTCACCATCTGTCTAATACTATTAATTAAAAAAATTATAACTTTGTTGGTGAATGTCAATTTTCAAGGTCATCGCCAAATTCACTTGGCACCCTTAATATTGAAAAATCGGAAGATTGATGGCCATCCCGGACATCCCTTACAGGTGGACCCTAGATTTATTCCGGAGAGGTGCTAAATATGGTCTACAGCCAGAAGATCTCTACGACCCCCCGAGCGCCGACGAATCCGAAAAACTCGCGAATCGACTGGAGTCCGAGTGGCTGATGGAGCTCCAAAAACTGAAGCACATGGAGTACAAAATCGACGACGATGGGAATAAAATAACGAAATCACCGAGGCCAAGTCTCACGAGGGCGATAATACGAACGTTCTGGCCGGGTCTCGTTCGCGACACTATCCTCCTGCTATTTTCCGTGGTAGTATTGAGATCGGTGCAACCGATGTTTCAGAGTTTAGTCATCAGTTATTTCGGGACTAATACGGGGGGCCCAACGAGGGATGAAGCTCTTCTCTGGGCCCTCGGGCTGGTCCTCACGACGGTTGGGGTAACATTCATCACACATCATACTAATCTCACTACACAACGAATTGGCATGCAGGTCAGGGTTGCATGCTCCTCCCTCATCTATAGGAAGGTCAGTGGAGGCGAATTGTCGAATGCTTTGGAATTAATCATTTGAAGACAAACCTTCAATTTTTAGGCTGCCCGGATAAATTAATTTATTGGAAAAACTAGGCGATTTGTCTGAGATATTCTGTTGGAATTTTTTGAAAATTATTTTTAAATTCTCTTCATTTTTACGAACAAATATCAATCGATGTTGATAACTTAATTTAATTAATCTGAAATTTTTAATGATAAACTCATAGATTTTCTGGATGTTTTTTTTCAGTTCTTCGATGGGAATGAAAAGTTCAGCGAAAAAATACGAATAGAATTTTTGTTTAAGTAATTTTAAGTTTTCACGGAAAAATATCAATCGATGGTGATGACTCAATTTAATTAATCTGAATTTTTTAATGAATAACTCATAGATTTTCCGGATGTTTTTTTTAATTCTTCAATGAGAATGAAAAGTTCAACGAAAAAATACGAATAGAATTTTCCGATGGAATTTTGAGAGAATTCTTTTAGAGTTCAAGAAAATTGAATTTTGGGAGAATCGTCAAATGCTTTAAAAATAATCTTTTGTTGACAAAAACCTTCATTTTTAAGATTTCACGGTTAAATAAATTTATTGGAAAGATTTGGTGATTTGTTTAAGTAATTTTGTCGAATTTTTTTGGCAATTATATTGAATTTTTATTCATTTTCACGGAAAAAATACCAATCGATGTTGATGACTCAATTTAATTAATCTGAATTTTTTAATGAATAACTCATAGATTTTCCGGATGTTTTTTTTTAATTCTTCAATGAGAATGAAAAGTTCAACAATAAAATACAAATAGAATTTTGGAAGAATCGTCAAATGCTTTGAAAATAATCATTTGTTGACAAAAACCCTTATTTTTTAGACTTCACGGCTAAATAAATTGATTGGAAAAACTTGGGGATTTGTTTGAAAAATTCTATTGGAATTTTTTGAAAATTATTGTGAAATTCTATTCATTTTTACGAAAACATATCAATACATGTATAATTTAATTTAATTAATTTCAATTGCAGTCAATTTCTCAACTTTTTTCCGTTTAAAATTTTTTAATGAAACAAGTAATAAAAGTTCAATAGAATATTTTCACTAAAGAGCTGGATTGTTCTATGTATATAACAAATTTAATTAACTCATTCGGTTTTCTCAGAGCCTGAGACTGAGTAAAGCATCGCTGAATAAGACAACACCAGGACAAGTAGTAAATATTCTAAGTAATGACGTCAGCCGTTTCGATATGCTCCCTGTGTTCCTTCCCCATCTGATCATCATGCCAATACAGGTGAATTTTAAAAAACTACCGACCATCACCCGAAAACTCGACAAAATTCGGAATCCTAATTTTTTCCCCATTGACTTGCCGTTTTTGTTGTTATAAATAAAAATGTTTAAAAACCATTATTCAACCCACTTTTATGTAAAAATCCTCAAATGTTGCATCTGCTTTTAAATAAAAGATTCAATTCTAATTTGTTTACTAAAACATTAGAAAAAAAAATAATCAAAAATATTGGCATTTGTTTAATCTCGATTTATCGTTTATTTTTTTTTTATAAAAAAACTTTAATAGAAAGTCTAGTGAATTCGGTAGATAATGCTATTGGATTTCTGCAGAATTTTCTATTAGTTTTTGGCCGATTCTATTGAAAGGTTCAATAGAAAATATTCTATCGAAAAATTTGAAAGAATTTTATTTTTCTGTACAATTTATTCTACCGATATTTTCTATAGAATTTCCTAGGCTCAAATATCCCATGTTTTTATGATTGATTTTCCTGATGAAAATAAAAAAAATTACAATGAAAAAAAAAATAGAACATTTGAGCCGAGAAAATTCTATAGAAAATATCTCAATAGAATAAGTCGCATAAAAAAATTGAATTCTGTTGACTATTTCGATAGAATATTTCCATTGAACATTTCAATACAATCCGTCGAAAATTAATAGAAAGTTCAAGAGAAATTCAATACAATTTTCTAACGAATACGCTAGGTTTTTCTATTAAATTTTCTTATCTGTGAATATGAATAAAAAAATTATTTATACTGTTTCTTCCTTCAAGATCATCGTAATTGGTGCTATAATGTGGACCAGAATAGGAATATCAACATTAGTTGGCGTCGCTACCCTCCTGATAATGACAGTTCCCCTTCAAGTACTAATTTCCAAACAAGGTGGACAGTTGAGAGCCAAAATTGCGAGACTGACGGATAGACGAGTGCAACTAATGAATGAATTGATCTCAGGAATTCAAGTAAAGCAAACAGGAAACCGTCCCCCTCCCCTCCAGAGAGCGTAGGGGAGGCTGGGGCGAAATGGACACTTTTGACTTTTTAGTTTTCCAGAGACATTGAAAAAATTTGTTTTCCAATTTCTTCCCGGCTGCGTTTTTTTACATTCGTTCATTTCTCATCCATTAAAAATAGATCATAAAATTCCAAAATATTCATATCTCGTCCATATTCGAAGAAAAAACAGTGATTCTAATTTTCCACCGGCAGAAATGAAGACAAACAAGTTTTCTCCATTTTCTAGGCAATCATTCCTTTTTGAAAATTTTCAGGACTACATGGAGATAGTATTTTTCCGGGCTGCTACGATGGGGTTTTTCACTCGTGTGGCCGTTTAACTAAACGGCGAAAATTATCCACATGTTACGAAAATACGAATGGATAAAATTAAATTAATCTAATTCTGAAGACGAAAATGCAAAGAACATAAAATAAAATAGCATAAATTAATCTAGCGACGGGCACGAGGCGGCCGTTAACTAACATTTATAAACTCACGAATAAATTGATTAATGAGGCTCAGTCTGGGCTGAGTTCAATGCATTATCAACATTTCTGAAAAATTCAAAAGTGTCCATATTGCCCCATTCTCCCCCACAGACCCATCACCTTGTCGTTATTTCCATGCAGGTGATAAAAACCTACGCCTGGGAGAAACCATTCAACAAAATCGTGTCCCTGACCAGAAGGGCTGAAGTGAAAGACATAACGTCTTCCTCGTCCTTGAAAGCACTGTACTTGGGCCTGATTGTGATTACAGAGCGAACGACTCTGTTTACCGCGATCGTGTCATTTGTCCTGCTGAAGAATACCATGTCAGCCGAAATAACGTTCCAGTTGGCCACTTATTTCAATGCCTTCCAGCTCGCTTGCGCTATATCCTTTCCGCAAGCCTTGATTATGGGAGACGAAGCTCTCATCTCCATACGGAGACTCGAGGTTTGTGTAACATTCAAGTAGTATAAACATAACTCAAGTTTTGGAGATTAACATATGATAAAAATATGAATGAATTAGCGAAGTATGAATAAATGCTAAGCGGTAGTCATAGAAGACTGATTTTGTAAATCTTTTCCCACACTGCACAGAGATATTTATTACGGAAAAGGCTCTTTGAAAAAAGTTGTAATATTTTCGAGAATTTTTAAATCACACTTTTATCATTAAAAATAGCAGATGACTACATACTACTGTTTTGAAAATTGAGATAGGGGAGGGTAGGGTAAAACGGACACTTTTGACTTTTTAAAAAATATTTATGATGTATTGAATTGTTCATGAAGTGGAATAATTTTATTTTTCAATTGAAAAACAATGATTCCTCTTTGTGATAAGCTCAGACTGAGCTCAATTGATAAATCTGTTTCTGAGTTATGAATATTTTTAAAAAAGTCAAAAGTGTCCATTTTACCCTACCCTCCCCTATCTAGCTGTCACTTTCCATGAGGAGTTAGTGTTTTGTAATTCACCATGGAAAATGACAGCTAATGGATAATTTGCCACAGCGAATCAGATATTTGTAATTTCCACGTTTTTCACCTCATTCTAACTCTCAATTAAAAACGCCCCCTTAAAAAAGTTCAGAATTTTTTCTATTTTTTTTTATCATTCTATCATAATTTTTGGGAATTTCTACATGATGTACCACTCAATTGACAATTTTGGATTACGAAAGATAAAAAACATCCAGATAACATTCGAAAGATAGTACAACCGGGCCTTAAATTGATGGTTATTTTTAAAATAAAAAAAATGGTGAGTAATATTAACAATTGACATATTCCAAATTTAACAGTAATTCAAAATTTCGATTATGCCGATGTGTGAAATATACCCATTCCTCTTCCAGAAATTTCTGCTCTTGGAGGAGATTGAATACCCATCAGGGGACTCTAAACCGAGCAAACACACATCCCCCAAGTCAATAGCTCCTCCGAAAGCCGCTGTGACCGTTGACTTGCACCAGGTGTCAGCGAACTGGGAGACTGGCCAACTGCCCCCAACTCTGTGCAATGTGTCCATGAAAATCGAGGGTGGAAAATTGTGCACATTAGTGGGGCACGTCGGCTCGGGAAAATCGTCCCTTTTGAATCTGTTACTGAACGAACTGCCGGTCGGGGCCGGCACTGCCCGATTGTCCCAGTACGGCGACCCCGATTCCACGGATCATGCTACTCGCGGATTCATCAAGGACAATCACGACATGAAAATTTCGTTCGCCAGTCAGGACGCCTGGCTGTTCTTCGGTACTTTGAGGGAGAATATTCTTTTCGGGCAGCCGTATGATAGCCTGAGGTATCAGGAAGTATGTCCATTGACAAAGTACTTCATCTTCATGTTGTTATGAATGATTTTTAGAGAGAAAAATCATCAGCTGATTTTGGGAAGAAATTTGAGAGTGAATGGTGACACGAGAAGAGTCAATTTAGTTCAGATGAATATTGATTTAGTTTTAGATGAATATCTCAGCAAAATGCAGACGACTCAATAGAGAACTTGCATGGATTTTTTTCAATTTTCTAATCTCAACTTTGGGACCTGAATAATTCAAAACGGTACCAGTCAATTTTGACTATTGACCAGTTTTCAATGAATATCTCGGAATCTAAGGGAGATAGCAAAATTTTTGTTATCACCTTTTTTGTAGAGCCGATCGAGAGCTACAACAAATGTAATTATGAAAATTTCGCTATCTTCCTTAGATTCGGAAATATTCCTCAAGAACTCAACTGGGAGATGAGTCGACTTAAACTGTTCTAGCCCTTTGCTACTGAATTCTCCGGTTGCCCAAAAATTATGATTGTAGAATCAAAAAAACCTTGAAAAAAGCTAAACATTTTCAAAGAGCGTTTTTGAATAATATTGGGAAATAAACCCAGTAGGGAGGCAATTGCAAATTAATAATTTGATGTATCTAATGGCGGTTAGGTCGTCATTTGTCACAGTAGTCAATGGCTGTCAGATCGTTAGTTACCATGATAAACTATCCATTCACTATTTCCTCTCTGTCGGACTTATTTCTCAATCTTTATTAAAAACGCTCTTTGAAAATGTTCAGTTTTGTTTCTACTTTTTTCGATTGTACAATCATAATTTTCAGGGATTCCTGCGTGATGTAAACTCCACTGGCAATTGTGAAATATTTTACATTACGACGATGGAAAAACAATCGAGATAACGTTCGAAAGATAATCCGCCCGGGCCTCAAACTTGGGAACATAAACGTCTTAAAAAAATGGGAAGAAAGTGCCTCAATTTCCGACGCTAGTTTTTCTGATTAAGAGATTCAAAGACGGTTTTTTACAAAAAATTCTCTACGACACTAAATTATTTTCGAAAAACCGTTATCGAAGTAAAAATGCAATAATGCCGAAGGATTTTCAAATGATTGATCCTCATCACTAGGTGACGAGAGTCTGTTCATTAGTCCGCGACTTCAAACAACTGCCCGACGGTGACATGACAGTCGTGGGTGAACGTGGAATGTCCCTGTCCGGGGGTCAACGAGCCCGGGTGAACCTAGCCCGAGCGATTTATCGCCAGGCTGATCTCTACCTCCTTGACGATCCCCTGAGCGCTGTTGACGCTCGGGTGGCTCGTCGTCTCTTCAAGGACTGCATCGTGGGATTTCTGAAGGGAAAAACTCGAATTCTCGTGACCCATCAACTACACTTTCTCCAGCAAGCGGACGTCATTGTTGTCCTGGAGAAGGTAACGATCATCAAACATCGCCAGAAATTCCAGTGATGTCGAGGAATATTCGGGGAAAAAGGAAAGATCGATCTAATTATTGGGATTTCTAGAGAATTCTGTTTTGAATGTTGACGAGACATTTTTTTCCTGATGTTTCCACTTGTTTGTACGGTTTCTTCTATTAGCTTTTGGCCGATTCCAGTGAAGAATAAAGTTTCTAAGAAATCGGAGGATTTTTTAGAATCTTCTACAAAACCGGAGGATTTTATAAAGTTCCTAGACAACCGGAGGATTTTTTTGAATTTTCTACACGGAGAAAAAAATACCAGAAAAATTACTGTGCTGCCACGGTAAAATGGGTTCATTTGGATGGACTCGGAAAAATTACCGTGCCAGCACCGGAAAATTTGCTGTGGAGTACAACAATTTTTTGCAGTACATCCGAGAAAAATTTCTGTAGCGCGTAGCAAAAATTCCGGTGCTGGCACGGTAATTTTCCGGGTCCGTCCAAATGAACCCATTTTACCGTGGAAGCACAGTAATTTTTCTGGTATTTTTTTTGCGCGTAGAAAATCGGAGGATTTTCTAAAATTTTCTACAAAATCAGAGAATTTGTCCGAATTTTCTAGGCAACCGGAGGATTTTTATGAATTTTGTACAGAACCGGAGCATTTTCTTAAATTTTCTACAAACGCTGAGATTTTTCTAGAGAACCGGAGGATTTTCTAGAATTCCGATAGATGGCGCTGGCAAAAGAGTGGTTTTTCCTAAAATGACGCCCCATAAGGAAACCTTAGACGTATCCACGTAAAAAAAATCATGCACGTTTTCGATTTATGAAATATGACTATTTCTTAGGGTACAGTAAAATGCCAGGGGGCGTTCGACGAACTGTCGACTTCCAATGAAGACTTCAACCAAGTGCTGAGCCAAATACAAAAAAAAGAAGCCGAGAAGCCGGTTAACGAAGAAGAACCTGATGGTCACACTGAGGGTTTTGCCGCCCAAAGGCTGGAACTTCCCTCCATCACTCACATTCGGGAAGAAATCGGGGGACGCAGACGGAGACCATCACAACTGAGCTCAGGGAAATCATCGATAAGATCAGTCGAAAGTTTTGTGAGTTTATCAGTCAATCAGGGCATTTTTTGCAGATGTACTTCATTTGCCAAAAGCTTTAAATAAAGATGGTCAGATTGCTGCCATCCTCGTCTGATCCATTGAAGAGTACTTAGCCACGTGGTGCCATTAGTTCGTGAATTTCTCAGGAAATTCCCTAATTTATCCATTCAAACGATTTCTGAATATTTTTAAAGAAATTATCGGATATTTCCGCATAGTTTTTATGCGCAGAACGAGAGGAATCAGTTTCACGGATTAAAATCTAGAGCGCGAAGCACGGTTTAGCCTTATTTCAAAGACACTAGTCTTTCGGCGCGCTCCCGCGCCTCTCTATGACGTGAGAATAGACGCAGGAGGGGATTCCCACAGTTGGCTCCTCATGTTACTCTCTTTTAGGTTTAGTTTTTCAGTAGCCAAATATATTTATGTTTATTTGAAGGGGTTTGCTAGTCTTTGTTAGTATAAAATTTATGACTTGAATTTCTGGGTGCCTTTAATTTAATTTCAACCCCTTTGAAACATCTAAGTCATCAAATATAGATGCTCAAATAGATGTACAGGATTATGCCCTTAACCGACTGTTCCTTTATACAGCAAAAATAATTTAATCTATCAATTATTAAGGTATTCACATAAATTACAAGAGATTTTCTGCGCTTGGTAGGATAATTATTGAACTCTATCAGATTTCGTAACCCAGGATTCACCATGAGGACATAGCTGGTGTTGAATCTCCCAAAGGCATGAATATATAATTTAAAAATTTAATTATATAATTTGATATATTAAATTTTGCAATTATATCCACGTAAAAAATCATAAAAATTTAATATGTTCAATTATATAATTAATTTTTTAAATCATATACACAATTTAATCGCCTGTAGATGCCACTGTCCTAACAAACCTCTTCAAATAACCTTCAAACGAGCCACACACGTCGTGATGTTATCTCCTGAAAGTGGTGTCACACAAATATCGAATTAACATCACAAATATATCAAAAGCCTGTGAGAATAGACGCCTCCTGCGTCTATTCTCACGTCGTAGATAAGCGCGCCGTCAGTCTAGTTGGAATAAAACTGATGTGAACGTGTCACGTGACCCAAATACTACACTCTGATTGATCGAAATCCGAGAGGAAAAAATAATTTCAAGTAAAATCAATTAAAGGCAATATCTCCCGACTAAATGATGTGATTTGGACAAGTTTGGGCTCATGTTCAAGGTTTCGAAAATCCCTTGAAAATTAAGAAAAAATCTTCAATCTTCATTAATCCTAAATTTGTATGATGAATTTTACCTTCTTTCGCAAGGCATATGACGACGAGGCGGCAGCGGCGCAGGCAGACGACAACAGGAAGGCTGCAGCTGAAGTCATGACCTCGGGCGGATTATCATGGAGCGTTTACACTCGTTATTTCCGAGCTGGAAGTACAATCTGCGCACTAATAGCACTCACCCTGTTATTCATCCTGGGACAGGTTGCAACCAGCGGTGTAGACTACTGGATTACCTACTGGACAAATGTAGAAGTCATCAGAAAGGCTCTCGATGATGTGAGTGGAGACTACTCAGCGATCAGGCCAGATTACTTGAAGTACTTCAATGACTCAGTGTGGAGTCAATTTTCCTTGCTGGACGATGACGGACTTCTTGTCACGGAGTACTCCATATATATCTACACCTTCTGCATTGCATGCTGCATTATATTTGTCATGTTGAGGAGCATCCTGTTTATTGGAGTATGCATGAAGAGCAGCAGACGATTGCATGGGGTCATGTTTGCGAATGTCCTCGGGGCACCCATGTTTTTTTTCAATACCAATTCTTCTGGTAAGGATATTTTCATTTTCAGGATAATAGGACTATGTTTTACAGCACTTAAGGATGTTTAGCCAAAACCCACATTATGCACCGTAATTTTTATACTGTCTCATATGCCAGGTTCATATTTGAGTCACACGTTAGTAATAATCTTAATCCTTCCATCGGGGCATCCTAGTGAGAAATTAATTTCTGAAAATCACTTCTTGTAACATTACGCTTAGGGAAGAAACGTGACCGTGTGAACTTTGATCGAGGTGTTGCATGGGTCAGACACTCAAGATATTGAAAAAAAAACCACAAGCCATTTACTTTAGACTATGGAGAATCTATCGCCGGCGAGAACAAGTAGGGGACCGGGCCATATAGGCGTGATATCTTCGATTGATTTTCGAATTCCTTCGAATTCATTCAAACATTCATCTCAGTGTTACAACCCCACTACTAGCCGAAGCGTGCGATGTTGCCCGATCAAAATTCGACTGTTACCACCGCAGTCACAAGTCCTCCATAATTTATGAACATTTTCTTTAATAATTGTTTTTGAGACCGAAAAAGTACGCCATAACACTTCTAATTTGATGAGAATAATAATTTGTAATTGATTTAGTTAGTCAATTTTTTTTTTCAACTGAGTTGTCCACTTGAAAAGTTGAACAAGTTATTGGTTTTTCCAATTGGGAATTCTATATAAAAGTCTATAATGCCTGTAAGAATAAAATTCACAAGATTCTATAAGAAACCTTGGGTTCTGCTCTCCTCATTGCACCACTGTGTTGCCGATTTCGTAATTTTTTCTTTCAGGACGTATTCTCAACCGATTTTCAAAAGACATCGGGGCCATCGACGAATTGCTCCCCAAAGCTATGTTGGAATGCCTGCAAATATTTTGCGTGTTGATCAGCATCTTAATAATGATCATAGTCGTCAATTACTGGATGATAATTCCAACTGTCATTGTGGCAATTCTATTCTACTTTCTCCGGCATTATTTCATGGATTCAGCGCAGGATATCAAGAGAATTGAAGGCATTAGTGAGTGTGTACTTCCCGAATGCATCGAAAGGGGCATTCAAATATTACGTCACACGATGTGGATTGGCCTTCGGGGAGCGCTATTCGCCTCCAAAAACACTTTGTTGTGATACCTGACTGAAAAGTGCACTTTTCGAAATGGTCTAGTGTGCGTAAAGCGGGTATTTTCCGCACGGCATGCGCTAAGTTCACGAACGTGCGTAAAGCTCTTAAAATTTACGCACTCGTGTACAAAAACCTCTTTACGTACCTCTACTACCGCTCCAAACAGTGAACTCGGCAACCGGAAGTTGTTTTCACAACGTCCGTAAACGGCATTTGACGGACACGAAGTATCCGCAAAACGACGTTTTACGGACAGTGTGATGAAAATAGCATTTTGATACGAGTGCGTAAAACTGTCTTTTAACCGCTGGGAGGTGTATAGGTAGCGCTCGCCGAAGGCGCGTCCCAAAGATCAAAGAATACTTTTCTCACAAGTATCGAACCCTATTTTCTATCACGATGTGTGGAAAGTGAGATTTTAAAATTTCACTTTACGGACAAGTGATGAAAAGTAATTTTTCTCAGCTAAGAGTCCGGTGTTTTCTCACGTGGCTACAACCATGAACGGACTGTCGACTATCAGAAGTCGTGGGGCGGAAGTCCAAGTGATGCTGCGGAAGGAGTTCGATAAGTACCAGGATAAACATACGGCCTCGTGGTACCTCATATTGGCAATGCAATCTGCTTTTGGACTCGTTCTCGATCTAGTATCCTGTCTGTTCATCGCATGCGTGTGCTATTCACTCATTCTCATGGATGACGGTAATAAACTTCAGTTTTCATCGTTAAGGGGACGATTAATGCAGTATTGACGACTTCAATACTTCATTAAAAATTGAAAATCCATTAGTCGATGAATTAATTGATTATTTAAACAATAATTAATAATTATTTTTTCAAATAATTAATTTATTGCAATTTCCATTTTTTTACCTTTATCACTCACAATTAGTGATAAAATATAATAGAGCAGAACATGAGACGAAGATTTTTCAACGCTAAAATGATCTCATCATTTATTACAAATTGGAAATGAACTAGTTAATTAATTCATCAGTTGAATAATGATTGAATAATTATAGTAAACAAAAATATGACAATAATGATTAATTAATTTAAAAAATAATTTTCAATTTTTTTGGCTTATCATTTAGTGATAAAAATATAGCAAAATAGAACATGCCGATGATTTCGTTTTGCGCAAGTCTTGAGACGAAAATTTTTCATCGCAGAAATTATCTCGTCATTTATGTTCATGAATTACGTTCGTGCATTGAGATGAGACAATTTACACTTTGATAATCACCAGAAAAGTAATTTCTTAGCTGCTGAAGCGCCAGGCAAATTAATGAAAGTGTTCATTTCGAATCGAAATAATGTTCACCACAGGAAATACCTTGAGTGGATCAGTTGGTCTCGCAATCTCTCAGTCTCTAATCCTCACTGGGATGCTTCAGTACGGTGTGAGACAGAGCACAGAAGTCCAGTCCCAGATGACTGCAGTGGAGCGGGTTCTGGAGTACAGCGATCTTCCTCAAGAGGAGTCCGAAGATTCCGCCAGTCCATCGCCCCCGAATTGGCCATCAAGCGGGAGAATTCAATTCAAAAATGTTTTCATGAGTTACAAGAAGGATGATACGCCCGTCCTAAAGGTGACACAATAGCGAACTTTCATGAATTGTTTTCAATTTTCTAATCTCAAGTTTGGGACCTGAATAATGCATTTTTCATTCACAAACGTTCAAAATCTTGATCATTAATTAATAATTAGTTATTAAAAGTTGAAGATTTCAAACGCTTTGAAATCGCTAGTGACGTCACACAGACGGTCGAGCGCGGGACCAATCACAGACCCGAAAATTTACTGAACGTTTCAGATTTATTCTCTTATATTCCTATAGAAATTCACCGAAAACGATTCTCGTTTGCGGATTACGTGAAATGTTTCGTAATTTTTCTTGAATATTTCTCTCTGCATGTTAGGATGCATCCAAGAGATCGCTATTCATAATAATATTATATCAAGTTGACAAATTTCATAAAAACATCTTCAATCATCGTAAATCATAAGTAAAAAAGATTAAAATAAAAATTATTTTGCCTGCATCGTAAACTCCCTAGAATCTCAACATGACAATTGAGCCTGGCTGGAAGGTGGGGGTCGTCGGTCGCACAGGAGCTGGAAAATCCTCCCTGATTCAGGCCCTATTCCGACTAACTGGGGACGGACTGCAGGGGGAGATCTTGATCGACGAGAGGGACACCAAAACCATCAGTCTCCACCATCTCCGCTCTAACATTTCAATCATTCCGCAAGAGCCAGTTCTCTTCTCCGAGAGTTTGAGGTACAATCTGGATCCCTTCGAGACGTACCCTGACGATGCACTCTGGAGGGTTCTCAACGAGGTTGAGCTCAATGGAGTGATGCTGGATCAAATGGTGACTGAGGGGGGAACCAACTTCAGTGTTGGACAGAGACAACTCATTTGCTTGGCGAGAGCTATTCTGAGGAATACTCGGATTCTTGTGCTTGATGAAGCAACTGCTAATATCGATACTCGGTTTGTTGAGAAATTAGACATTTTACTGAACGGAACGGATTTTTTAAATAAAAAAATTTATTTATACTTATAATAATAATATATAATAATATATTATATATTATTATAATTATATTATTATTATTATTATTATTATTATTATTATTATTTTAATATATTATAATATATAATATAATTTTAAAAAAACAATCAAGATCACGTTCGAAAGACAATCCACCCGGGCCTTCAATTAAATTTTCATTAAAGTGTTACGTTCGACAAATAACGATTCATCACTTCATCGAATAATTTCTCATGAGAAAAATCACCCGATGAAATAATAAATGATAAATTTTTCACAGAACTGACGAAATGATTCAACACACCATAAGAACGAAATTCGCGGAATGTACAGTGATAACAATTGCCCACCGACTGAACACAATAATCGACAGTGATCGAGTGGTGGTGATGGAGGGAGGGCGTATGGTGGTATGTCTTCCTCTTGAGAAGTTTTACTTTGCATTGATACAAATTTGACATAGCTCCGAATGTTTGTGAGAAAAAAGTCACACATAATTCCACTGACACCCTATGCAAAATAAAAAAAATTACAGATCAACGTCACTTCAAAATTTTTGAAATACACAACTTAAGTCCTGCATCATGTAGAAGTTTTGAAAAATTATGAATGAATAATCAAAAAAAAAAGTAGAAAAAATTCTTAATTTTTTCAAAGAGCATTTTTAATTTATATTCAGAACAAGTTGAGTAATAAGAAATTGAAAAATGTATCTGATTTACGGTGACAAATGGTGGTCTGTCACCCAATATCATGCGGGGGGAAGACTGATTTTGTAAATCTTTTCCCACACTGCACAGAGACATTTATTACAGAAAAGGCTCTTTGAAAAAAGTTGTAATATTTTGGAGAATTTTTAAATCACACTTTTATCACATAAAAATGGCAGATGACTACATACCACTGTTTTGAAAATTGAGATATCTAACTGTCACTTCTTATGAGGAGTTGGTGTTTTGCACAGCGAATCAGATATTTATAATTTCCACATTTTCCAACTTATTCTGAATCTCAATTAAAAATGCTCGTTAAAAAAGTTCAGAATTTTTTCTATTTTTTTTATCATCCTATCATAATTTTTGGGAATTTCCAGATGATGTACCACTCAATTGACAATTTTGAATTACGAAAGATAAAAAAAAATCCAGATAACATTCGAAAGATAGTACACCCGGGCCTTAATTCTCAAATCTGAATGTTTTCAGGAATGCGCGAGCCCCTACCAGCTCCTCACCCAAAAGCCCCCGAGTCAATTCGCGAAAATGGTGAATGAAACGGGCAGTGAAATGGCGAATAAACTCCTGGAGATGGCATCTGCGTGCTACCACCAACGAGGTGCCCCATTCACCCAGAGAAATCGACGTCCCAGCGACGCTGATACCATACATATGTAACCAGAGCTGGATAATATATTGTAATGATTTGAGGTACAGAACAGCGGGGCAAAATGGACACTTGACATTTCGTTTAAATATCCAGACTCATCACGAAGAGGAAAAATTATCCCATTTCATCAACTGTTGAATGAATTTAATATTTCAAAAGACATTTTAAAAAAATCAAAAGTCCCATATTGCCCCACTCTCTGCTATTTCAAAATGGAGATAGAAGTTTAACTCTTCGCGTACGGGGCCTTTCTGTTACGAAGTCTGCGGTGCGATTCGATGAATTCTGATGCATGAAAAATTATAAAACGCCTTAAAAATATAAGCTACACTATCCAGCTTTCGGGTCCATGTCTCAAAAACCTCGTCAAAAAAACTTCCCAACTAAAAAAAACGAAACAAAAAAAACTTCAGCAATTTAAAACTTAAAAAACTTGAAAAAAACATTCAAAAACTTAGGAAATAATGCAAAAAAAACCCACAAAAATAGGGCACTAATAACACTTTGATGAATACCCACGGACAAAAATAAGAAAATGGAGAAAAAAATAACTGCAAGATTAAGTTTCCAACGTCGTATCCACGATAAAAACCATTGACACTTGATAACCAGTGATTTGACACAAATTCATATCGTGAAGAATAAATAACACAACTCTTTACATCCACAACACAACAAAATAGAAAAAAAATCAGTCATTTAAAGCACAACATTCGAAGCAATCCCTCTCAAATAATCCAGAGTAGTAAACACCCGAATCAACACACCCGAATCACAAACACAAACACATATTTGACCTGTATTCTTACGCCAGACAAGAAAACTGAAAGGTTTTATTGACAGAAGTTCAAATAGACAGTAGTTGAATTAACCACAAGTTCACTTGTCCAAAGTTCATTTAACCAAGTTTTTTTGACGAAGTTTTTGAGACGTGCTCCCCAGCTTTCGAATGGCGTTAGTGGAATTGGATTATCTGTCACAGTTTTAGAATCTCAACGAAAACTGAAAGGATACTAAATAATAAAAGCAGAAAGAGACGAGACGAAAGCCAGAATAGAAGAAGTTTTGTTCCAAAAAAACGAAAAATTGAAAATTAATGCAAATGACATTCGTAACAATATCGTAAGGAATAAATAGAGATATGATTTTGGGGAATTCATCTTCTGGTTCATCTCCATTGTTGTTAATTATCCATAATATAATGTTGGAGAATGACTGGTGAACCTAAGTCCATTATTTCCTACGATTGAAAATGAAATGACATTAATTTTTTCAATATGAATCTCATTTCCTTCGTTATGTTTTAGAAATTATTATGAAATTGTCCCAGTGCTCCTCAATGACTTCAAATAACGAAATTATTTCCGAATATTCGGGTCAACTATTCATTTCAAATGGTATTCCTTCATCAAACCATTCAAATACTATTTTATCTGCCCCAGTCGATCAATCTTGAAGTATGAATACGTCAATTAGTCATACAAATAGCATTTGAAGTAATAATTCCTGCAGAAACCCGAATAATATCAACTAAATAATATTCATTAATTAACATCATGTTTAACTGAATAACATTCATCAATTCTAAATAATATTCATACATTTAAATGAAAAAAAAAACGACTCTCAAATGCTGAAACGAAATTATTTCATAAAATTTCGATCTAGTATATAAATATTATTCAATTCGTCACATCTAATGAATTTTGAGAAATAAGAATTATCCATGAATATGTCAATAGTAGTTGAACTAGAATCTTACCCACTTCCGAGTATAACTGCTGATCGTGTAAACCACCTGTAAATGTCCTAGATAAGTTCCTGTACTTGACGAATTGGTGAATTAAAATTAATGAAGAATGATTGTCGAGGTAAAAATAAACCCATTTATATTCCACTCAATGATTCAGATGGGATAATACAATTGCCTGTGAACTGAATCCTCTGCAGCCGAATGCCAGTCCCTCAATTTTCATTTTTTAAATATATCAGTTATTCATCTGTGCTACATGAACGCGTGATCATCATCTGGACTCAGTGATCTCTCCGCACTCTGCTGCATCACGAAAACACTTTGTGTCTTACTTATTGTCGTCACCTGAAATTAATAATAAAATAATATTTCATTGAAATAATTTCTTTTTCATTGAAAAATGAATTCACAAAGCTAAAAGAGAGCCCTTGAGAGTTGAGTTTTAGAGGAATATCTCTGAATCTAAGGGAGATAACAAAATTTTTGTAATTACATTTTTTGCAGAGCGAATTGAGGGCTACAAAAAAAGTTATGCGGAAATTTTTGCTATCTCCCTTAGATTTTGAGATATTCATTGAAACCTGGACGATAGGAAAAATCTAATTAAACCTTTTTACAGGTTTGCTGTTATTTCAGAGTTGAATCTTCAAAATTCAAGTTATATTTATACTAGTTTAATATTGCCGAATAAATTTTGAAATAAAAAGGAAAAGTTGATGGAATGGATAAAGTTTTTCATCTTCCAGTGAATTGAATAATAAATACAAAGGAAATAGAATAAATGTTTTAAAAATGGAGACAAAATATCTCTCTATATTATAAAAATCCAAATCGACTTCTGGTGATGAAAATTTGGTACTCGAAATTAAGATTCTAAAATTAGGGGTCAGAACTGTCATGGAGGGCAGAATGAGGGTCACGAGGGTCTAAATAAGGGTCACAAAGGGTCAGAATAAATGTCTCAAGGGTCAAGATAACGGGCAAAATAATCTATATATCTCTCCATGTTATGAAAATTCAAATCGGCTTCTGGTGATGAATATTTGGTATTCGAAATTAAAACTTCAAAATTAAGGGTCAGAAATGAAGGTCAGATTAAGGGTCACAAGGGTCAGAATAAAGATCATGGGGGTTGACGAATGCTATAATAAATATAATATAATAAATATAAAAAAAGGTAATAAATATCTACCTGAGACATAGTTGATGTATTAGTATGACTGCTATTCTGCATGCAGACAACAACAAGTTTAGGTGCTGCAGTCTGCAGGGGCTTCTGTTGTATATTACTCTGAGTGATTTTAATCTGCTGTGGATTCGGTTGTCCCTGTGCCTGGGGATTCGTCGGTGGCTGCTGTTGAACCCCCGTCGGTGTCTGTGATCTCGACTGGACAATAACGTATTTTTGACCAGTACTGGCAGCACTGACTCCAGCATTCCTCGCTGCATTGACAACAATCGTGCGTGGCTGGCTCGGTTGGCTGGGTTGACTGCCCACTGAAATATTTTCTAATGAAAATATCTCATCATTAAATATTCAATATTTTTCAAGAGTCTTTCATTAAATATTTCTAATGAAATTATCTCGATAATGAGCGATTTTAGAAGAAAATGTCGCGAGACATTTTTGTAGATAATTTCACGAGCTAAACAAAATCTTTTCTGACATTTTCTTCTAAACCTACTAGTGTCAGACATATTTGCAAAGTAGTCTTGATAAATTTTCTGGGATTTTCCCATTTTTTTCAAAGACTCATTTGTTTATTTTGAAATTATTTCGATAATGAGCAATTTTAGAAGAAAATGTTACGGGACATTTTTGTCGAGAATTTCGCAGATTAAACAAAAGCTTTTTTGACATTTTCTTCTAAACCTACTAGTTCCATAAATATCGGTAAAATATTGCAAATGATTTTATCCCTTTTCTTCTTCCACTCCAGGACTTATCAATTAATTCGTTATTCATCATTTCATTAGCATCTAATCAACAGATAATGTAATATCCAGAATTTTAATGAACTGTTAGTCAAAAATGAATAAAACATAATTAATAAAAATAAACAATGCAATTTACGCAGGAACTTCATCGCCGAATTTACTAAAATTCTTTTACAATAAGAAAACCGATATAAAATCCTGATAAAAACAATGTATTCAGAATAAAATATAAAGATACCATTTTGAACGAGGGTTTTGGCAGTAGGAGGTTGACTCGCTGCTAGCCCAGTTCCAGTGGTGGATGGTGAGTGTGCAACAGCGACAGGTTGAGTTCTCGCTTTGGCAACAGCAGCACAAAGTGCAGGGCCCAAATATCCATAATCCTGCTTGTAATCATCAACAAAATCAGGAGCCGATCTGACTGTTTTCAGCACAGGTGCCACTGACTTCACAAGCCCCGATTTAATGTGTCCAGCGGCATTTTTGTCAACATTGGACAGAGCTGCACCATCGACACAGCCCTCAATGCGCTCTGATATGATTTTTATTTTTGGTATGACAAGGGCTTTTATCACTTCTGGACCCAATTCACAGAGGCCACTGATTGCACCGTAGAGCGAAGCCAGGGGAGTCTGAAAGCATGATGAATTAGGTTAATTATCCATCGATATTAATAATGAATAATGATTTTATTTGCGTGATTAACTTGTTAAATAAGTGCAGAATAGAAATTTTAAATAAATGAGTGTAGTAATTGTTGCTAATAAATTAACCATTTGCTTCGGAATGGATTTCCTTTTTTGAAAATCTTATTTCACTATTCTGTTCTTCTATTTTTTCATGTTATAGTACTATCATCAATTGGAATGTCATCAAAATTTTGCGTATTATTTCGTTCTGTCAAATAATTCTACATTCAGACCCTCTCAAGACTCGAATTCTTTTTCAGTCCGGGTTTAATCAAGGTCCAATCAAGGTTCAATCAGTGTATAGCCGGGATTTAATCAGGGTTTATTCAGGATTTAGCCAGAGTTTAACCCAGGCTCTGTCAGAAGTTAGTGGGGACCATGAATCAATATGAATAATTATTCAACATAATAGACTAATACCTGAGTGTAATAGAGACAGATATTTTGATATAAAAAGCTCATGACGGTATTGTGTAACTGGATAAGCAATGATACTGTTCTCACCATTTTTCAACTTGATTATGAAGCCATTGAAATATACTTTTCAAGCCCTGATTTAATTGCTATTACTGATGATTCTTTCAATAATCATGAAAAAACCGATTTTCTCTTTCAAATTGCATAAACAATGTGCTGTAACTCAACAACAAATTGTGCGACCCCCATCATATTCTGATAGAATCAAGAGGGTATTGTTATCAATTTTTTGAGCCATGACTGATTCCATTTTGATGACAATTTTTTGAGCGATCGTTGAAAAATCGATTTTTTGAAAAATAACAAATTTTTCGAATCTGTACTAAAAATTGAATTTTAATTGGTCTCAATGAATAGGACTATTAAATTCTGTATTCATGCAAAAATTGATGAAATTCAAATGATTCCTTATAAGAAAATTTCGAAAGAAATGAAGAGAAAGACGATATTTTTAGACGATATTTAGTTACCCTATCACAAAAAGTTGTAGACTTAAATTTGAACGATTACAAAGTTTCCATTCAGAAGCAAATGAAAGTGTTGATTAATTGGAATGAGAGTTATTATTGTTTTTCCTACTTGACTATTCTTCGTTAACGCTTGACTGAACATTCTCGTGATACGTGTCTGGACATTATTGGTAGATGTGTTGAAGTTCCTGCAGATTTGACCCATCAAACGTGAGGCGAAGTCCCGTAGAGCCCAGTGATTGTCCATTTCTGGTCGCATGCAGAGCTGTCGAGACACTATGCAGGTAGCTACCGACGGAATCAGTTCGTGAAGCTGAAGAGTTCAACGAATTCATTTGTTGGTGATTCATGAAGTTTAATTTTCCATGCAACAATTCAATTTTGGTTTTAAATCATTTGTCAATCGATTTATAGAATTTAATTGGCTATTGATCAATTTTCATTGATAAGAATTGATTTTTAATGTTGTAATTAAGTTTTAAATTTAATTCATGAAGTGAATTCAATTTCAAATTAATTTATGAATTTTAATTTGTAATTTATCAATGAAATTGTGGTTTTAATTTTTATTTTCACCAATAAGAACTGCTTTTTAATGCATTCATACAATTGAAAGTTCAATTCATCGATATGATTCGATGTTTAATCGATTTACAAAGTTTAATTTCCAATTTAACAATTTAATCTAGTTTTTAATCATTTTCATCAATAAACATTGTCCTTCAATTAATTAATGCAATTTCAAGTTTAATCTCAACAATTAAATTCAACTTAAATTGATTTATGAAGTTTAATATTCAATTCATCAATGAAACATTAAAATCACTTCATTCTTTCATTCATAAAAATTGCTCTTCAATGGATTAACGCAATTTCAAGTTAAAGTCATCACTTGATGTAAATTTTCAATCAATCCATCAATTGAATAAAAACTTGAAAGCCTGAAATTATAAAATACATTGAATTACTCACATATTTCTCCAAATAAAGACTTGGATTATCAAGCAGAGCCTTCACCATTCTCATGAGATAAATCAACAATGCGAGATTATTCTGGACTACATTGACCCTCACACCCTCAGCAATGAATGTGCACATTCTCGCGAGCATTTCGTGAAGGCCAGGATCAGCTGAGAGTGACTGCAGAGCCTCAGCCCTGCGAGCCTCGTCTGAGCCCACGCAGGCCTCTGTGATCTCCTTGTAATACAACTGCTGTTCAACACTCAATTCGTGGGTGGCCAGTTGTTTCACATGCACTGTCTCTACATTTCGAAGTTTTTGACCCTTGCCACCACCCCCGGGCTTCCCCACACTCATGTTTGTGGATTTGTTGGCGAGCTTCGTCGTTGGGTCCACACTCTCCAATTTCTGAACGTCTGCAACGAGTTTTACAGATTTTTTTTCAAGTCTTGTTGAATGGGGAATTATCTCCGCAATGAGTGGGTCTAGAGGAAAATGTCATAAGAGATTTTTTGTAGGAAATTTCCTCCGCTACAAAGAAGGTCTTTAGACATTTTCTCGTAGGAGCCCTCATTTACGAGATATTCACATACAAACAATAAATTGAAGAAATACGAAAATGTAGATTTTGACGTATTTTCATTTTGCTAATTTCTCGATTATCTTCTTAACTATTGAATTTAGAAGGAATCGTCATAAGAGATTTTTTGTAGGGAATTTCCTCAGCTACAAAGAAGGTCTTTAGACATTTTCTCGTAGGAGTCCTCATTTACGAGATATTCACATACAAACAATAAATTGAAGAAATACGAAAATGTAGATTTTGACGAATTTTCATTTTGCTAATTTCTCGATTATCTTCTTAACTATTAAATTTAGAAGGAATTGTCATAAGAGATTTTTTGTAGGGAATTTTCTCAGCTATAAAAAAGGTTCTGAGACATTTTCTCGTAGGAGCCCTCATTTACGAGATATTCACATACAAACAATAAATTGAAGAAATACGAAAATGTAGATTTTGACGAATTTTCATTTTGCTAATTTCTCGATTATCTTCTTAACTATTAAATTTAGAAGGAATTGTCATAAGAGATTTTTTGTAGGGAATTTTCTCAGCTATAAAAAAGGTTCTGAGACATTTTCCCGTGAAATGACTCATTATCGAGATATGAAGCAAATAAACAAAAACGGAATGTGCATCGAGAAAAATTGAGGAGAAGAATTACCTTTGGAAACTGGCGGTGGATTTTCGGGTATGGTCGGTTGGACGCCGTCAATGCACAGCCAGTGGGCCCTGAGAGTAATCTCCAGAGGTAGTTTTGGCCACGTAGCCGTACCAGCCACAGCTATCATCTCATTGAGATCGATCTCCTTCTCCTCGACGAAATGCAACTCTCGCCCTCCCCCCGAGGCGAATCTGAAGGGTATGTGATCCTTGGCGAAGAAGCCATACGTGGGCTCAATATTCTTTATCTTCAAGGCGTGATCTATGTCGTGGGTCGTCAAACGCTGGCGTTTGCCATGTCTCATGAATTTAGCAGCATCCTGAACAGTGGAATCGTCACAGTCGAAATAATTTAATCTTCGAATCAGAGATGAAAGACAAAACGAATGCTCTATATCTGATGACCAAATGGTCCGATTCAGACGGATCGGAGCTCATTTGGAAGATTATGAAGATAGCTTGGAAATGAGACCTGATTTTTTAAATTACACTCTGCCGATCTCGAGATATCGCAGTTTGATGATGTCAATTTTTAGGGAAGAATAGATGATTGGAAAAAGGGAGGGAAACGAAATGGTCTTGCTGAATCTTCAATATCTCCTGATTAAATGAACCGATTTGGACGAGTCAAGGCTCATTTAGAGGGTTATGGAAATACCTAGAAGATGCGTATTGATTTGGTGAATTCTACTCTGCCGATCTCGAGATATTAACAATTGAAAATTGTTAATTGTTTCTTGTTCTTTCCTAATAATGAATCGTTAAAACCGAATGAGAGCTCCAGTGCAAATGATGTGGTTTGCTCAAGTAAATGCTCATTTTGAAGACCATAAAAATAGCTTGGAAATGAGACCTGACATATTCAATTTTACTCTGCCGATCTTGAGATATTACCCATCGAAGATCGCTGATCCAACCTCACTCTCCATGAAAAACGGATAAATAATCGTCAAATACCTGTATAATCTCCTTCAAACGATAGCTGACATCCTCAGCAAGGTCCTTGGCAGCTTCATCCGGTAAATTTCCCACACCAATGCTCTCGGCGATGACTTTCATGGACTCCTGGGACAGGGTAGTCCCATAAACCGAATCGTTTTCACTCATTTTGTTTGATGTTTCACTATTTTTCACTCAATTCCCGTTACTCCACGCACATTTAACGTCTCAGGTTATTGCTCCAGGCGAGAGAACCCCGATAAACAGTAGGATTGACAACAATTCAACCTGTAATTAACCTCACACTCTCGTAAACCTCCATAACAAACCGCAAACGTAAATAAAAATGTCGGGTGCTGCCGTTGGTGGCAAAGTCGGGTACTAAATGGTGAACGCGCATGCGCATAGGTTTCGAAATTTCGAAATTATAATTTTTCCGGTCAATGGGGCGATAATAAAACAAGAAAACAAGCGGACAAGGGAGGGTGGGGCAAAATGGAGTAATGAAATGGAATAATTTTACTTTCTTGGCTCTTCCTCTCTGTGATGAGTCCAGACTGAGCGCAATTAATAAATTTATCTTTGATTATGGATGTCCACAAGTTTATTATTGCGTTTATCGGTTTTTTTAAAGCTTGGGAAATGTCTCGAATCGAAAATGAGCACTCGAACATGGCGGAGATCTCGAACGAATGGAGAAAGGCGGTTTTCATGTGTACAATCGTCTTGCGGCGAATTTTCATGAAGCCCGCCTACCAAACAAAAGAGAATTGAATACCATTCTATGAAACATGAATAAACGAATCGTAATTGTCCAAATCATTTAGGTCAGAGGAAAATAGAATAATTCTACTTTCTTGATATTGCGTTTACTAAGGTTTTCTCCGAACAAAGTTGATTAGAATTAATAGCTAGAATTACGAGATTATCTCACATTTTCGACGTTAAGGATAGGAGAATCTGAGTGCAATACAGTGAAAATGATGATCGATTTTTTCACTTTGAACAAATAATATTAATATCCAAATTCAAAATTTCTGATATGAATAAAAAGAAGCTGTGACTCCATATTCCAAACGAAGTTTTAATTTTTAATTCGGTGCTGAAAACACGAGATGACAATATTCTAAGCACGGAATTATATTGATGAGATGAACAACAGATTAATTGAATTACCGTGTGAACTGACTGAAAATTGATAACAGTGTGGGCACGCACTTTTACCAGAGTATCAACAAACATTGAATTCCAGAAATTCACACTCTAAAGTGTGTTCTAGAAGGAACTGAACTGTAATTATGATTAAAATCTTATTCAGTGAGCATAGGAATTGGAACATGAGCAAATCATTTATTGTAATATGAAAATTGAATAGCTGATAAATTGGGACAGGATTCTCATCGGTCGTTTTGATTTTTGCAATGAGAATGATTATAAACAATTAATTGAAAAAAATATATCGAAAATTCGATAGATAACCTACAAGAAATTTTGAGAAAAAAATACCGACACCATTTAAAAATCGCATTTTCCAACTTTTTAGACTCCTTTCAGTCTTCCACTCGAACTACTACAAAGCTTCCATTCGGAAGCAAAGAAGTGCATTGTTTTCACTTCACGGCGTGACAGCAGCCACTTTCAAGCGAGTAAAAATAAAATCATCAAAATTTGGGGTTAAAATCAAGTCCAATGACAAAATACTCGATAACTGGTCCAAATTCTCTGATGAAATATCAATCACGGGTTATCCATGCTGCCAGATGCTTTCGTATCGTGCAGTTATCTCTTGATCGGTTGTGGATCATCGATTCATCGGTTAATCAATCATTCCCACGAACATTTCTCCAAAGTTCTACCTGAGTTTGTGTGTGCAGCAGCGGGCATCGCCGCCATTGGAGCAAGATGTTTATTCAATCTGGGGTATAATCTCCTCTGGAGGGAATACCGTAAGTTAATTGCAAATTACTAGTTTCTGAATATTTTTTTTCATGAAAAAAAAATTGAAAATGACATTTTAAAAAATCATTCTCTATTTTTTATCATTTTTAATATCTCTATTCTTAATCATTCTCAATTATTTTCATTCCCAGCAATCGATCCCCTATTGATCGAAGCAGACATAAAATCGCAATCGAATGAAAGGAACATAATAGACTCCGGCCTATCAGTTTTTGGATTGGCAAGCCTGATATACTCCCTCTATCACCACCACAATTACCAAACCACTGGAGTTATCATTATCTCATCACTGAGTCTGGCTGAAATAATCTGCATGCATGCGGAGCTAAAGTCACGGAGTCAAACCCCCCCTGATGATCCATCAACTAATCATTTGAGATACCTCATTTCTGTAGTCGATGGATGCCTCACTTGGCTCTGGATCTTCTCTTCAGCGATATTCGGGTACCCGCTTATCTAAAGTTATCAATTTATGAGAAAAAGTCGTTGAAAGGTGCCTGATAATTCCAGATGGGCGATGGAAAACGGTTATGCCCGGCTAGCGACTGTTCCATGTATCATTTCGATGCTAATTTACCGCCCCAATGGCTTCTACCACGGATGGTCGATCAGAAACTGCCTGATGGACTACATGATGCTAGCTTATGTCATTCTAATGACCGAAGCCATTTGTCAATCATCTTGAAGTGATCAAAACTCAAATCGGAGTATTTTCTGTCTCCATGAAAAACCAAAAACTTCGTAAATAAAAGATTCATTGCACTTGATTAAAATTCTTAACATCAGAGTTCACGCATCCATCTACACTGAGAGAAAAAATTATTCCTGCCAAGGATTGATATTCTCGTCAGAAGATAATATTTTTTCAGAACGAATTTTTCCAGGACAGTCATTTTCAGAGAGTCCAAGTCTACCCTCAAAAATTACAGTGATATTGAACATTCTGATTATTATGCTACATATGACCTTGACAAAATGTTCCCCGATATCTTCCGGATTTTACAAATTGGCGATTGTCTCAGGTAAAGAAAATTGGAATAATTCCAAATGTTAATAATTATTATTGGAGTTTCTTCGAGGTCATATGCAGAAGAATATTCTTATAGATCACCATAATTCTCACGCTTGGAACTGATTTCGGAGCACCTGGAAATGACTGGCCTGGAGAAATACGTTCCAAAAGAGATATTTTCTTCTACTAAGAGTATGAAAAAGATATCACCAATAATATTTTCTTGGAAGGAATAAATTGTTTTCTCAGTGTAGAGATGCAAAATGACCGTAATTTTTTGGATCGTGTTATATGACCAAAAAATGACGGTATTGTAATGGTCATGTGACAAATTTGACCATAATTTTCTAAAATTAAAAATTATGGTCAGAATTACTTTACAAGCAAATTAATCTCAAAGCATCTATGTCTAACACATGATTTCACGATGCAAGCTGGCTGTCATTTTTTCTGGCGGTTAGGTGTATCGTAGAATAATAACTCGTGGTTTAGCAGAATAAAGGTGTTGTATTTAGCACGTTAGATGTGTTTACATCTAGTTCTAGAATCAGACTGACATCGACTGATCATTTGGTCGGAAGCGTGCGGGTTTAAATACCTTTTGTTATGGAAGGTTCGAGAATTGTCCAGAAATTTCATGAGGGACAAGGATACTGCTGATGGACAAGCATGATGTTTGTCTCGAATACGACGATATAGAATATTCGAGACGCGTTATATGAATTTCGAAATAATAATTCATTTGTGGTTCGCGCCACATTTTTTCTTGGCAAATTGTGATGATCATTTAGAGCGGGGGGATGATTGTGATAACCGTCAACATTATCTTCAACTAACAATAACCCCATTGAATAACAACTGATCTGCTAATTAATATTTATTAAAACAACAGGCACGCAACGTCACATCGATTCATCCATCAATTAATCAATTAATTAATCATCAGTAATTATAATTTAATAACTCGGTATCACATACGAAACGCAGAAAACACGTTATCGTACACAAGGTAGTATTGAAACAATAACTCCCAGTCACACTGCTCGTAAAGTCTTTTACCTATCCAAAGGAATGTGAAATTTGTCACATCTTGGAGTTGGAATTGACGCTCCAGCCGACATTGCCGCCCATCGGCTGGAGTCTGACACTGTTTCCAGGGCTGTTGTCGGCCTCGTAGCCCCCGTTCACCTGACCAACATCCGCGAAGACGTCTTTCACGGATATCTGACTGCTCCTCGTAGGTCTCGGCTGGATTCCCAGGGGATTCCCCGCGACTCCGTAGATGTTGTTCGCCCCCAGTGTCTCCATCTGTGATTTTTTTCTCAGTGCTATGATGCTGTTGCGACGGCTCTCGAAGGCTTTGAAGGCCTTCGTCGAACGACGAGTTGACATGTTCCTCGGGAGACCTGAAGAATTTAGATTCAGTCATTTATTATTCAGAATTGATGAGTGAGAGGCATTACCATTTCCCTCAGTCATGCTGAAGAACCTCTGCCTGAAGGCAACGTCCAGGGTGTTGATCGCCTGAGTCTTCCTCCTGCTCTTCTCCAAGTTCCTAATTGTCTTCCTGCGACCTGGACCACTTCCACTGCCTTCGTCGTAATCTTCCTCCATTCCGTCCAGCCTCTGGAGGTCCCTGGCAAACTCCACAGCCTGCTCCGTCGCCAGCTCTCCCCCTGACAGGTCCTTCTTCTGGTGAATGAAAATTCATGAATCGACTCGTTTTTCATTTGGGTCCGGAGTTGAAATGCCCCAGGAGGAAAAAACAAATCTACTGAAATGTGGGGACAACGGAATTTTCTCATACGAGGGAGAGAATACATAGTTCTTAGGAATGTTCGAAAATACAAGATGGTTGACAAGTGTGACCGCCGCCATCTTACTGAATACCTCCTCCCTCTGCCGCAAAGGGCTTCAAACATGGCGGCGTCTCCACCTCGCATTTTCAAACATCTCGTAGAATTATTTATTCTTCTCAGTTCGTCCTCAACTCACTCCCTACGGCGCCTATAAAATGAACAAATTTGTTGCGCCATCCTTCAGATTTCTCCAGTCCCTTTCGACTGAGAATTCATGGCGCACCGTTTTCCCGCATTTCAGTTGTTTTTTTTACTCCCGAGGCGACTTATCATTTGATCACGAAGGACTTACTTTGTTGCAACACATGAGCACAGTGCTCGATAGAATATGCGCAAATGTTCCAAATCTATGGAACAACATAGCAGTGAACTGAATAACCAAAATAAGAGCGAAGAAGAACACGAAGACAAGACCAATGGGCTCCAGCTGGAGATACTCCTTGGAGACATGTACCTGTAAAATCCCCAGTAAAAAATCAGACACCCGAATTGAACATTCAAAAAACACAGTCAAATCCCTCAATTTGTTTTAATCCACAATGATTATTATGTACACAAAAACGACATTGTGAAAGATCTCACAGGGTCGTTTGTTCGCCTCCTCATTGAGTTAGACACAAAAGACCATTGGAAGCTCAACCATGAGACTCCCCCAATATGGACCACTCCAACCCCAGTCAATAAATGCAGCTGCAACCACGTGAATATTAGTCATCCATTTTGCACCGTCAATAATTGGTTGGAAGGATCAGTCTTTCGACATAATTTTGAAAAGATGCTTGGGGAGAGATTATAGAGCCAAATTATTCAGTTTGAGTGGATTGTCGTGAGACAATTGAGGATCAAGGCACAGGTATGAGATAAATTCCAGACATCTTTAAGGCGTTTGATGTGAGAAGTGAAAATAATGAAAAGAATGTGAAAAATTCATGGGAGATATATCTGAGTTTCCTACATCATTGGGATTTTTTTCGGATTTTTTCTAGATCTCGGCCTCGAGAAAAAAAAATGTTCAAGAAATGATTAAATGTACAAGTGATACCGAAAATTATGAGTTCCGAGGCAGATTCTATCCATTGAGGCTCAGGTGTGGCAACGCCTTCACCATGAGTGGCGCGCAATTCGAATGTCAATATAATCGCGGGTGCATCATGGGAGAGGTATCGGTTAGACCACGGAACTGAGAGAAAAAACTGCAGGTTTACCAACCCGAAAAAACCATAGGAATGATCCGTGCGGTATTGCCGCGTCTCCGATGCATTTTAATATTGCTTAAATAATTAGAAAAACATCCAATGAAAATAATTTGACACTCGTAAGTAACGGGAAAAAATAAATCTCCCAAGAAAAATTAATATTCAAGAAACGATCAAATGCACACTGAAATAGTTACTTGAAAATTGAAAGTTTTCGTGTTCAAGGGTTGAATCAGGGCTTGGAATAATGGGATTCCCCTTTCATTTGCGGAGTACGGATGAAACACCTTAATGAAACTGTCTGCAAGATTATATCACACTTGTGAGGGAAGTATTAATGGACTTCCATATCTAAAACTAGATTCCAGGGACTCGTGCTAATTGCCACCGTGTACCACATTAGTTGGATTCAGGTGTTGTGAGACATGTAAGGAAGACAGAGTAGAACACATTAATATATAAGAGATGAGGCCGGTGTGCCGGTACCTCTGAGGTTTCCTCAACGAAGGTGATGTTGGTCTTGACCCCAAGTGGCCACACAACGTGCAGCTGATCTTTGTTCAATTGTAGTAGAAATACTATCAGTACAAATAGAGCATTGAACATTAAAAACGCGAATACACTCTTGTTCCGGAGTTCAATCAGATCTGCCGCGATGCGTGCCTGTTTCATTTTCATTGAAAAAAAAGAGAAAAAAAGAATTGATTAGTTATGTAATAGAAAAGCTCCGCCGATGTCCGTGTACTCAATCCTGCCAAGGAATCCAGGAAAATGCTTCCCGTGAGCTGCATGAATGGGTCAACAAATAGTCTAGTTGATAAAGTAATGATTGAGTACATGGCAACAGCAGAGCGGTAATTTACCTCTTGGGTACTCTCGTCATACGTGATGTTGGTCTTGATACCAAAGGGCCACTTAACGTGCAGAAGGTCTTTGTTCAACTGTAGCAGGAAGACTATCAGGACGAAGAGTGCATTCAGCATAAAGAAGGCAAAAACACTTTTGTCGCGTAGGTCCTTCAGATCGTTAGCTATTCTCGCCTGACATCACCAGTAAATTATTATCATTTTTAGGGAGAGCTGGGTAATCCTTATGAGCAACAATATTTCAATTTGTTGCAGCTCCAACAACTCTGGGAATTTCAAAGGAAGAAAGAAATTTCGAGTTCACATCCATTCAGTAGTTCAATACTTTAACCCTCTGAGGTGAATGCGTTTCTATCACTCTATGCACTCAAGGCTTTATATAAGATAGCTTAGGGACCGTAGGAGCATGGAATTCCGGGAATCCCTGTATCCCCACTACGCGCGCTTATGGAGAGAAGAAAAATAGGGATCAGCGGTTTGAAATGAGATACTTCGCTCATTGCGCGCGAATTCTATGGAATATTCATTTTTAATGAATGGAGATTGATAACTAATCAATTTATACGAGTTTAATGTTTTGAATTCGTACAGCCTGCGTTCCCTTTTCTCTCTAAACATAACTCCGCGGGATAGAATGGCAGCTGATGTTGGGGGATTGTTGGGGGACTTGAGAATAATCACTTCTGGACAGCTGAAGTGCACATTATTGAAAGTACGTAAATTAATTGAATTTTAATTAGGCTTCATTCTATTAAGATAATTCTGCGTCATCATTTTAATAATTATAGCGTCGAAGACCTAAGTAGAACTTGTCAGGTCCAATTATTCGACTCGGGGAGGTGACCCTTGGGATCGTTTAAACCTTCTGATTACTTCCCTTGACTCTCACGTTCGAACTCTTGACCTTTAGAGTCGTTTGACCCTTATGATCACTTCGTTCGTCCCTCCCGTTTGACCCTCAACTCCGTTTGATCGTTATAATCACTTTTTTCCCGTTGAAAAATGATCGAGGCCATAGGTATCTTATAAGAAGCTCGCGGAACTGGACATTCGGGAGGCGATAAAAATGCCGGAAGTGGGGATAGGCCTCGAGCGCTCGGAGCTCGAGGTATCTCATATAAAGGTTCGACTGTATGACTCAGACCGACCCTCACTTTAGAGGGTCAAATTCAAAAGATTGGGAAAATTCACTTGGAACTTTCAATGTATTAATTTCCAAGGAAAAGTTATAAACCGGAAAACATTCTTCATTAAATACTCAGTTTCTCTACAATTTCATAGTTTTACAGCTCTTTTTAAGTTTATATTTCTACGAAAGAAGTGACGCATGCATATTTATTAATGTTTTAGGTGTGGTAATTAATTTTCAAGGGCTCTTGGATTGAATTCCTCCAAGGAGTATTCGATTTTTTCACCACAAAATCGACAAAAGCCAGGAAATACGACAAAAAGTTGTCAACAGCAATGGAAAATCACATAAATTTTTTATTCAAGAACAGGAGCTCTTTCCACTACCACATCCTTCGAAAATAATTGCCACACCTAATACTCATTCCTCAACCTTTCCAATCATCCATGTCTTTAATCCTCAATCTTTCCATTCGTTTTCCATTCAAAGCATTGAAATATTGAACGAAAGTGACCTCAAAATTTTTCATTTTCCTCTGAAATTTCAAGAATTGTTGCAACAGCAGCACAATTGTTCATTCAGATCAGATCCAGCTGAAACTAACCGATAAATAAAAAAAACTACAGAATTCAGAATTTCGAAAAACAAGATCAAAAGGGTTTGGAGGGAGACGAGAGGTTCGGGTCCAGGGGGTTTTACCTTCTCTGCTTTGTCTTCATCGATGGGGTACAGATACTGAGCGAGAAGGTCCTTCCAGAAGGCCTCCTCCTGCATGGAGAGGACGTCGACCTCTCCCTTCTTGAGGCCCTCGTCAGACAGCCAATAAGGCCGGGACAGGTTGTCCTCGCGTCTGACGTCCTCTTGCTCGCTGGATTCCTCGGAATCGCTGTCAGCTTCGTGGCCTTCCTGGGAGGCTTCGTTGATCGGTCCCAGGTGATCACCTCCCCGTGAACCTGCTGATGAACCTCGACGACGGACTGCGCTGTGAGCGTGAGGATCGACAGCTCTGCACGAACGAAATTTCAACGATTGATTGAGAAGGCTTGAATGGAAGCGACCAAAACGAAGACCAGATGAATCGACAGCAAGAATTACCTCTCAATAGTCTCCAATCGCTTTCCCAATTGCTCAAGAGACTCAGCAATCGCCACCAATTGTTGCTTCTCCTCCGAAGGCTTGCCGTGAGTGCAGAGCATGCACTTGAACAATCCAGCGAGCGAAATCTCAATGGACCCCTGGTCATCCTCATTATTCCCAGATCCATTCTGCAGAAAACCAAGTAGAGACTTGGTCTTGGCCTTCTTCTTAGCCTCCTCTGCCTCCTTCTTCTCTTGCTCCAGTTCCTATCGTTCAATCCATGAAACCAATCTATAGATATTCTGCGATGGATGGCAGAAGTAGCTTATGGATTATTGATTAGTTATTTACCGCCTTTGTTTTTTTCACTGTTACTTCCCGCGTGCCCCACGTAATGTTATTCAAATTGACGAGAGAGTATATAATTAGTACAGCGTACATCGAGGGTACCGTTATGTAGTAAATTATTCCATGCGCAAGGCAACCAATTTCTTGCGGATGTAGGCATCCAGCTATTGCTATTTGCGCTGTCACCAGGAGGATGAATAAACTCGAGGGTGACAGCAATCCATCATCGATAACGTTTATGGATATTGCTATTATTACGGCTACCATTACGAGTGCGTAGACGACACTGAGGACCGCAGCGAAAAATACCTGTATTGAAGGATTCAGAAGACTCATTCATTTGGATCAGATGAACGGATTTGATGACGCAACTCCGTTCTTTCGGAATTAATGAATGGTCCTTCTGAAGGTGTGATTAGTAACGCTTCTAGATTAACCCATCACCCTGAAAGACCAAGGAAGCCCCGAGAAGCAAGCGAAAGCTTCTGTTAATAGCCCAGTTGACGATCCCAACAAGACAAACCTTCTTCGTCTTCTTCACTTGGACCTCTCTCGTTCCCCAGGTGACAACATTAAGATTTATGATCGAATACAGGATAAGAAGCAGGTACATCGAGGGGATAGAGAGCAGGCAGATTATCCCGGGGACGACGCACCAAAACTCTTGAGGATGTGGACAAGCCGGACAGATTGCCTACATACATCCAGAGCGGATTCAGAAGACTCATTCATTTGGATCAGATAGATGGATTTGTCGAAGCAAGTCCGTTCCTTTGGAATTAATTAATGGTCCTTGTAAAGGTGTGATTAGTAACGCTTCTAGATTAACCCATCACCCTGAAAGACCAAGGAAGTCCCGAGAAACAAGCGAAAGCTTCTGTTAATAACCCAGTTGACGATCCCAACAAGACAAACCTTCTTCGTCTTCTTGACTTGGACCTCTCTCGTTCCCCAGGTGACAACATTAAGATTTATGATCGAATACAGGATAAGAAGCAGGTACATCGAGGGGATAGAGAGCAGGTAGATTATCCCGGGGACGACACACCAAAACTCCTGAGGATGTAGACAAGCCGCTATGAAAAACGAACTCGACAGCGACATCAGGAATATCGCCGACGGCGAGCCTATGCCGTCCTCGCCAAGCTGAAGAGCTGTACCCACTATAACAGCCATCATGATCATGGCATAGAGCGTCGACAATATTTGGGCACACAGAAGCTGAAAGGATAATCATCACCACACGCTACACGGACAACACAGCATCAACAACAAGAGTAACAAGAGCAGTCCACCAAGACTCACCTGTACGTTGGATTTACAAGTGAAGCAAACCACCATGAACAGTAGAATCGGGAAGATATTGTAGTAGAAGCTGGTCCAGTTGTCGATCTTGAAGGCAGCCACGAAGGCACCCACCAACATGAGGAATATAGTTCCGGGGCCAAGGATGGTGCCCCCCATCAACAGAATCTGATACGAAATGTAGGGCATCGAGATATTATCGTTGATCTTGATGGTTCTCTTAGAATCCATGAGCAGATCCATGATGTTGGCCATGGTCGAGGGCACCCATCGTCTGCGCTGATTGTAGAACTCATTGAATCCCTCAGGGGCATGGGTGTAGGCATCGCTGGCGGCGGAATACTCGACTCGATAGCCCCTCTGAAGCAGCAGAGTACACAGCCATCGATCCTCCCCCTGATCGTACTGAACGTAATGCCTGGCGTCCTCGGATTTGGTCGTGTACTTCTTCATGACGTTGTCGTCCATGAGGGCCTTTCCCCTGAAGAGGGAGAAGCAGCCAGGACTACAGAGAACACATCCAATCATGTGCTCCGTGGCCTTCTGCAACCAATGACCGATTGCGTACTCAAACATCTGGTACCAAACCATCGGGCCAGATCCCACAGGGTGAATTCTACCACAAGCAGCGCCCAGATTCTTATTCTTCTTCATCAGATCCACAAGTAACTTCACAGCTGCTGGCTGAAAGTCAATGTCACCGTCCAGGGTCAGGAGATAAGTGTTCTCAGCGATGATTTCCTTCCTGTCAACGCTGATAGGCAACTCCATCAATCTGTGACCCAGCAAGTAGTACATGTACATGACTTGGCTCCATCGTTTCCTGTGACGAATCTTGTTCTTGTCCTTCAGGTGAGCAATCATCTTCGATTTACCAGGCAAAGTCCAGATTAATCGGCCTCCGTAAGGTGTTGGTATCTTCTTCGGTGCCTTAACGTGTGTTCTCGTGTGATGAACATCGGATGCAGCTTCGTCCAGCGTTGACACCAGTAGCTTAACGAAACGATTGACTTGCACTTCATTCTCATCTTCATCAGCGAGTTCGAAAGCGTCGTCGAAGAATATGTGGGTCTCGAATTCATAGTAATCTGGGTCAATGAGTTTGAAGAACTTCTGGGCGTTACGCCTTGCGCTGTGATCCGCATCGAGCCGTAGAATACTCTTCAAGAACTCAATCATCTCTTCCTTGTTCTCGTGCCACATTGTGGCGCATGCATAGATACGCGTTACGTGATCGCTATTCTTGACCGCAGACGGTGGTGTTGTTGAGCCGTCAGTTTGCTCGTAAATGGTCTCGTAATCGCCGTCACCTTTCTCCCTCTCGATTTCGGCGAGATCCTCGACCTTGACCTCCGGCTGATCGTCGCGTTTGCGATTGAGACCGAGGGACTGATCGATCAATAGGGAGTCGTACATGGGTACGACGAAGAGCTTCTCGGTGGCGGCCAGACGCTCGCATTTAGGGGTCCATATGTGAATGGTGAACCAGGTCTGGGAGAGCAGCCAGAGGAGCCAGACCCAGGCGTATTGTTTCGAGACAAAGTCGTTTAGGAAGTAGAGAGGGGGCGCGTCGTAGAAGAGGTAGTCGGGAATTGTTCCGTGGAAGAAACAGGGATCGCTGGTGCGGAGGCCGCAGACCGCTATGAGGAGGGAGATCAGGACGGGGATCGTTAGACTGACTGGGAAAGCGTAACTGAACCCCTGGATTAGAATTTTGCACGCGAATTTACCTGCGGAAGATCCGTCATTATCAGACTTGGCGATTTTAGGGGAACTCTGGTCATTCTCAATCACGTCTCATGCAATCTAACAAGGACGGTTATTTCACATTTGTAATTCTGGCTACAGATGAGACAAAACTGAAACATGACAGTTGTGACAATTTTTGGAACATGAGCAAATTATTATTTTTTGTTATTTTATATCGCTTTGACTCGGCTGAGTATATTGCGATGATGATCAAGACTTTAAAACGGTTGGAACTCGCCATTCTATCCGACCAGGATTTGAACTCGGAACTTGGCGCGCGGTGAGCAAATTATTATGACGGCAGTAATAGAGGGTGACGTCAGCACCTTGTTTATAAATTTCAGGCAGATGTAGAATAGAAAATCCGGAATTCAATGATACAAAAATTACTTAATTCCGGTAATAGACTTTTAAATGGTGAACATCAGAATTTTTCAATACTTGAGCCAATTACATTGCGATTGGCTACCGCCATGATTGGACACGACGATGCAATTGTCAATGGGACTCGATATGATAACTAATGTCGCTCTTCATCTTGATAAAATTATCGGTTTATGGTTGCAATGAACATTGCTCAAACTATCGCACATAATGGTCTTCCAACTATCGCGCGTAATGTCGCAAATATCGTCATAATTGAAGTACCATCGCCATTTTCAATCATGGCGGCATGGCGGGAGACTACCATGATGTTATTGGGTGAATCATTGAAAAATTCAATTTTTTCCATTTTTCTTCGAAATGTAAGCTTTGTAATCGTTCAAATTCAAGTTTCCAAATTTTTGTGTCCGGGTATTTAAATATCGTCTAAAAAGTCCGAATACGTGATTTTTAGAAGGTGTCTATTTTGAATTTTTTCGATTTTTTTTCGCAATTTTCTTTATACGTTAAAAATTTTAAAGTTTTTTTTTCAATTTTTTTGAAGTTCAGGTTGTTCGAATTTGTTTTTCTTCAAATTTTTTTGTTACCAAGTTCTGACCAAATTATATTAACCAAGTTTTGTAACGCAAGTTTTTTAGACACAGACCCCATCTAAATAGCCATGGCAAACTGCTCAAATTATGCTCCAAAAAAATATGACGTCACATGGCTGTCATCAATTTGTCATATGACAAAACAAAATAACGATAATTTTCACATTCTTAATTCTGATCATCTTGTCCAGAGAAATGTTACACAGACCAGCATTCATCCATCTGAATACATCCTCAGAATGAATACTTACCAAATATGTAAGCAATATAAGACGCAAAAATCTGAATGAGCAGTACATAAATCGCTGAATTGAGATCGGCATCAACAGTTTCGGTCTCTCCATTCGGCAGAAAGTCCGAGATGTCCGGAATTGTCCCGAGGGCATTCTGGCGGACAGCAGTTACCGTGATCTTGTGCTCCCCAAAAGCACTACCGAACATTGTGAACAGATGTCCAACAGTTTCGCCTCTCGAGTGCAGAATGATTAATGAACTTATGAAGAAGGCGATTATCTTCCAGACGGAGACAAACAAGTAGGTAAAATATCTTGTCAAGCGGAGATCCTTTTTCACTCTGCTGAGAGTCCTAACAAGCCCTGAGAACAAAACAGAACATCGAAAGGATGATTGATGTAAGCGATTGAGGACAATTGGGTTCGTTGGGCACTTATTAAGGGTGCCAAGTGAATTTGAAAAAAGATTCAAAAAAAAATTTTTCTTTCCCTCCATCATTGGAGAAATATGTATTCATCCATCCGACGAAATTTCAAATCCGCAACCAGAACTAGACATCGAGAAAATAAATGCGGAAAATCCTCTATTTCGCGTGCCGAACCTCGAGAAAGCATGGGATCAAATGGGTACGGCGGGTTGAAATATCTCTCTTATTCACCCCGGTACCCCATTGTTTTTTGTCGCCATCACATTGAACACATCACTCCCCATATCTTCAAATTTTTTCAAATTTTTCTTGAGTTCCTAGGGGGTTGAAACGTTCAATTCAATCAAAACTCCATAAGAGGCCGTGTATAAGACTATTCGCTAGAAAATCTAGCGAATTCGCTAGAAAATTCTATTGGAATTCTATAGGAATTCTATGGAATTTCTATAGGATTTCCATTGAAATTCTATTGAAAAATTCTCTTTGTTTCTTCCGCTGATTCTATTGGATATTCAATACGAAAAAGTCAATGGATTTCGAATTTCTGTTTAAAGTTTTCTCTTGAGATTTTTTCTATAAGAATGCTTGGGCATCAATTTTCCAAATTTTTTCCACTCGGATTCTACACTGCAAAACAAAACAAAATTCGGCGGAAAAAAATTAGAAAATTTTGTGCCCAATAATCTTAATAAAAAAAATAAAAATAAAAAAATTTTAACAGAAATTCGAAATCTATTGACTTTTTCCTATGGAATATCCAATAACATGAACGCATAAAACAAATAGAATTTTTCAGTAGAATTCCAATACAATTTTCTAGCGAATTCGCAAGGTTTCCTATTAAATTTTTTCATGCGTGATTGCATTGAATATTTTCATATCGTCGAATTTATAAATCGAACGGAAGAAGCTGAATGGAATAACAATAGTGAAATAGTTGAATCAATATCAAGAGTCATATATTATTTTGTTCTTTTGTCAATTACGCCATTTACGACATTCCCCACAGAACACCTTAGTGAGACTTTTGCGAGTTATTACCAATGGGGCTCTGCATGGAGACGTAGTTCTCCCACCAGCCGCAGGACACGAGGATCAGCGAGGCCGGAATGAGCCAGAGACTGTGCCTGGAGCTGTCCAGCAGTGGCCAGACGACGAATCCGCTGGCCTGTGCTGCCAATGCCGCCAGGTCCACCAGAACCAGAACAAATCGCTTGGACTCGTCCTTGCTTTTGCTCCTGGAGAGCAGTCCAAGAAGTCCTGGGACGAAGGACACGCAGTTCGTCAGCATTGCGCCCTTGACGACGTCGAGATCCGGCAGAACTGAAAAGAACATCAGGGCCAGTCCGAGAACGTGAAAGGTCTCCATCATGAAGACAAGCAAGAAGTGCGAGGACAAGGGCTTCTTGCAGGACTTGAACGTGCACATCCTGCAGCTTCTGATGAAGGTCCCGATCTCGGGCACTGCGAAGGCTATTATTATGCACCACATCCAGCCGATCCTCTCCTCCTCAGGGAGGCTCACCACGAATTGACGGTCTCTACCCAGCTGACGATTGCAGTACACCATCACTCGACCTGGACGAAGCTGCGAGGTCATGAAGAGGACTGTTCCTTTCGCGAGAACACCGCAACCGAGGACTATGACGAACACAACGAGGTAGACTATGACTTTTGTTATTTGTACTGTGGCGTCCAGGCACTTTTGATTCGCCATGGAGCCAGAGTCTATCTTTGGAGGCGGGTCTCTGAAGACGTCCCATCCTTTTGTTTCTACGACTGTTCGCTGACTGAAATGTCGAATTTATGGGTCTTGTTAATTGGAGATTTATGGGGGGATTGCATGGAGGACATGTCGAGGGCCATTTGTTTCTAATATTCTTTACGAGAAATATCTCTTGACATTTTTTAAAGAAAAAATTATTTCAACATTTTTGTTTGAGAATGCATTGTCTCCGTTAAATCCAAAACTTTCGGAAGTGTCTCAAAATAAAAGGAAGTTAATTTACTGAATTGTTGAAGCACTGTTGAATGTCTTTGATGATTGTCTCTGATAATCGTTTTTAAATTTGAGTAGTTAATTTACTTTCACGTGATGCTACAATTTGATACATGTGCGGTCTTGTCAATTGAAAAATTTTAACTAGCTTCTCGAGGGTTTCGCGATCCCCTGACTGCTCAAGCGAAGGTTCCCGAGGGTACTCGAAGATTGTCGATAGGGCCGATCGTTTGGTTACTAACGTCGGGGCAATGTTGGCTGCCAACGTTGGGACAATGTCGGTTACCAACGTTGGCTGCCAACGTTGGGCCAATGTTGACTGTCAACTTCGGGGCAATGTTGGCTGCCAATGTCGGGACAATATTGGCTGCCAACGTTGGGACAATGTTGGCTGCCAATATCCAATTTAAAATACACCGTTATAGAAATTCTGTTCGGAAGCAAACTGCTAATTCATTAGCATAAATATATTGATTATGTTATGAGAAAAACAATTACCCACTCGTTTTTTTTCTCAAAAAAATTTCCCACTCCTTTTTTTCTTCTCGAAAAAAATTCCCATTCGTTTTTATGCCGTTTGACATTAAATTTTCCTTACCTTCCCCCATAATCCTGTGTCAACGGTGTGGTATCATCATCCGAGAAGTCATCATGACTCCCTCCCCCCGGTACCACCCCATTCTGCTGCTGATGCTGCATCTCCTCTCGTCAATCCTAAACAAGCAAAAACACCACTCAATTCCGCATAATTTCCTCGTTAACTAAATCCTCCCCCTGACATTACGTCACACCGATTATCCCCCGAGGTGCATCATCCTAATGACCACCGATGCTAGCGGTACCTCATGCTCATATTTCTAATCGACTAATGAAATGTTTCTGGTTGCGGTTACCATCTAATCGCACAAGCGCGTGAATTGAATTTACGCATACGTGCACGGTGCTACTGAGTCGATTATATCATCGGGTAACCGCGGAATATGTAATTTTTTTGATTGATTGAAAGGTGAAAGTGGAAGCGTCGTTGGTTAATGCAATGATCTCTCGAGTGTCACGGATAATATGATTACTAAACATTGAGGGGATTTCGAGTCGAGTCGAGGGGAATTCAATACGCACACGAAAAAATTCCATAGTCAATTCTATTCGATTTCTATTGAACTTTCTATTAATTTTTTGCCCATTGAAATGTACGTTTTGTATGAAGAAAATTTTGTAGAAAATATTCTATAGAAAAATTGAATAGAGTTCGATTTTACTGTACAACTTATTCTATTGAGATATTTTCTATAGAATTTCCTCGGCTTAAATTTTCCAAGTTTTTTTCGTTCTGTTTTTCTTTTTTTACGCGAAAAAATTTAGAAAAGTTGACCCGAGCTGGCGAATACTAGCGAATTCGCTAGAGGATTCTATTGGATTTCAATTGGAACTTCTTATTAATTTTTGGTCCATTGAAATGTATATTTTGTGTGAACAAAATTTTGTAGGAAATATTTCTATAGAAAGTCAATAGAATTCGATTTTTCTATACAACTTATTCTATTGACATATTTTCTATAGAATTTCCTCGACTTAAATTTCTCAAGTTTTTTTCACTCTTTTTTTTGAACCGAGGAAATTCTATAGAAAATTTCTCAATAGAATAAGTTGCATAGAAAAATACAATTCTATTGACTATTTCTACAGAACATTTTCTATTAAACATTTCACTCGAGTCGGCCAAAAACTACCAGAAAGTTCCACAGAAATCCAATAGAATTGTCTATCGCATTCGCAATTTTTTTTCTCTTAAATTTCTTCGCACATGTACTTCCATACATCTGATAATTTATCTATTAATCTTGATGAAAACGTTGAGATTTTGTTCTATAGAAAAATCAACACCCATTGTCATTTCCCCAATAAATACCGGAAAACTACATTTTCCCAACATCCACCAATTTCCACCTGGAGAATTCCAATAGAATTCTCCAGCAAATTTCCACATTTCCCTCGATCTCTCAAATCCGTCAGTAACTGCTGCTTCGCGCATTGAGTCTCCATATGGTAGAAATTGATCGGACAGCGCAAGGAGTAATCCAATCTTTGTTCTCCAAGCTCCCTGACAAAGAGGAGAGAGAGAGTGAAGGGTGAGGTGGAGGTAGGTGAGATTTTTAACTGGTTCCTACAGTTCTTGAAAGTGAAAGGCAACAGAAAACACAAGGCAGATAACGTAGCAAGGACGTCCACTGCAACTCACGGCCTGGCGGCGTGTCGGCAACCGCCCTCGAGCCTCGTCACGGTATACCCCACCAGGACTCCATGCTTTCTTCCATTCTGGGTTATTTACTCGTCTTCCCTCGCTTTTCGTTTTTTATTTCCTGTTAATGAGCACTTTTGAGGCTTTGTTGACTCTGCGCCGGAGGTTAAATGACCGAAAGCTGGATTTTTATTTTTTTATTGCAGGGAGATGCGTGGGGAATTCCATTACTGTGTCAGTGATCCGACGGGTCAGTCCTCTTTATTTTTAGAGGTCAATCTAGCCGAGAAGAACGACACGGTTTCGCAATTATTTTTGGATTCATTAATTTTTTGTTTGAATTTTTAAGTCGTGGTTGTTTTCCCCTGTAAAAAGAATTTGGCGAAACGTTTTTTATTAGGGATGTATTTCACCGAGTTATATTATATTTATGTTTGTAATTTTATGTCCGGAACGAAGTGTTTGGGAAAGCACGTTAAAATTGAAAATCAAATGTCTCCGAATTAACGATAAAAAACAGTTTAACTCAAAGGGGATACTATATCTTCCGTAATACAGCAGCAGAAAATTTATCAGTGGATACTAGAATTCATCGGCGAAGTAGTCGATGCAAATTTTCTACCCAATCATTCACAATGATCCATCACAATGAATAACAATTACAATCAAGAATAAATTCCAGACTGGGATTTGAACCCGGAACCTTTCGATTACAGTTCAAGTGCCATTCGACCGTGGTATGTCATGAAAAAATTGCGCAGAGTGAATAGTCTATCTATGGAACACTTGAGAAAAGGAGTCCATCTGTCGAAACACATTTTTGATGTACCTCTTTATTCTTAAACACCAACCTATTCCAGAAGAACGAAACGCCTTGCAATTTTTTATAAAAAAAACATTGGTAAGACGTTTTCTGTCATTGATGTATTTCACCGAGTTGAATTATATTTATATTTGTAATTTTATTCCGGAACGAAGTGTTCGGGACACACCTAATAATTGAAAATCAAATACGTCTCCGAATTAACGATAAAAAAATTATTTGAGTCAAAGGGGATATTATGTCATTCCCAATGCACCAAGAAGTATCATCAGTGGACAGTTGAATTCGTCGGTCAAGCAGTCAGTCCAAATTTTCTACCCAATCATTCACAATGATCCATCGCAATGAATAACAATTACAATCAAGAGTAAATCCCAGACTGGGATTTGAACCCGGAACCTTTCGATTACAAGTCAAGTGCTCATCCAACTATGCCATGAAAAATACGATACCATTCTATAGTACAGTATAATATAATATTTGTTGTGTTGTGTACGATATTTCCAAAAATCTTAATATCATGAATATTTCTATAACTATGCAGTCAAGAAATGTTGGACGACTTTTAATTCGTTGGAAAGCAATGGGTAGCATTCCTGACACACAAAAATCCCCTCAGGAAAATTTAAATACATGACTCCAGTCACTACCAACATTCATTCATATTTAATTTGAGTCTATTCCCATGAATTTTGTCTCTCACCCGAGGGGAATTCTCGCTCCAGAATCCCACAATGGTCAGTCACATCTACTCTTGGGTGAAATTTCTAATGAATGAGTGTCAGTTGATCCTAAGATAAACCAAAACATTCTAATGAACCGATTTCTATTTTTTTACATTGATACTGATTTGATAATTGATGAATCTTTATTACACATTCCTCTAATCGTGAAAATATTTCTCGCGTATAATCATTTTACCGATGACTCAGGGATAATGCGAGTAATGAATGTTAATGTCAAATCGATGGATTTGAATATGTATTCGATCGGTGAATATGAATCGAGGAGAATTGCACTCATTTTTCCCGAGTGGGTGATCTCGATCACTTCCGAACATTTTTTCATCATCATCTGTTACCAGGAAGGACGTTTATGGATTCAACTAATGGGTATCTTTATCTCAACCACCGGTCACTCACATTTTCCTCCTATTCATTATTTTTTCCGCGTGAGAAAATCCTCTCGCGATTTTTTACCGTAATAAAGTGCCTCTCTTCATGCCGTCATCATTACAGCTATTAAATTATTACGCGTATAAAAAACAACTAGTACTGGTTTTTCAATGGGCTTTGATTCAGTGTTTCTTAAGAACTTTCTCATTCAATTCATTTTGATCCAAGACATTTATCAAGCCCAAGGGTCCACCACGAATTCCTCTCACGTGAGCTTCGAAAGAGTCCGTTATATTTTTGTTGCTTTCATATTTTTCACATCGCGGAGGAGAAAATTAGAGAATTCAGGGGATTAAGTGATTGGAAAAAAACGACATGTTTTGCTCTAATAATTATCACTTGTAATGAGAGTTTTTCATTCAGTGAAATTAATTATTCTAATGGATTATGGGGCGCAATAGGTCATTTGTAAGATTTTTTGAAAAATTTATTAGTCATTTACGTCATTCAAATTTCTTCTGCAAATTATTTTTTTATATTTTCAATGTTTTTACTGTAGCTTGAGATTTATCAGGTTGTTCATTTTAGTAGTTTATTGCTCAGCGGAACATGTGAGCCTTCACCTATTCTGGTCATTCGTATTTTAAATACAACGGGAAAAATTATAGAATTTATGTTCGAGAATGTCTATAGAAAAAATTAAAATGTATAGACTTCCTATCAAATATCTCTTGCAAAAATGACGGGATTAAATCACATAAGTCTTTAGTAGAATTCTTATAACTTCTAATAGGAATTTAATAGAACTTCTTGAAGAAAGCGTTAGATTTTTCGATGTAATTTTTATTTTAACGTGATTTGCCGCGAGGGGTTTGCGACTGGCCATCGCCCGAAGGCCTTCAGCCTGGCATTTACAGAGATATTTAGTTTATAGTGGTATACTACAACGTGTAATAGCGATCAAAATACAAAAAGTGATGAATAGAGATTTTTTATATTGGAAAGTATGGGATGTGAGTGAAACTGTTTGAAGGGTTTGGTGGGAATGAAGAAAGAAAGTAGAGAACTATTGTAGTTTATAAACAATAATGAACAAAATTCTATTATTGTTTCCATATGTTTCTATGCGAATGACTTTAAAGTAGCGAATTCGGTAGAAAATCGTATTGGATTTCAATTGAACTGGTATTAAAATTCCTTTTTTTTCTAAGGGTCTAAATGAAGATCACAAGGGTCAGATTAAGGGCCCAAATGAGGGTCATGGGTGTCAGAAACTAACGATCACAAGGGTCAAAATAAGGGTCTCTATATATTTTTCTACATTAGAAAAATCTAAATCGATTTCTGGTGATGAAATTTTGGTACTCGAAATTAAGACCGAAATTATGGGTCAGCAGGATCAAAACAAGGGTCGCGAGGGTCAGAATAAGGGTCACGAAAGTCAAATTAATTGTCCCACGGTTCAAAATAAGGGTCACAAGGGTCAGATTAAGGGTCACCAGGACCTAAATAAGAGTAGTAAGGTTTAAATTAAGGG